CCGCGGCCTCGTCCCTCGTCCCAGCCCCTGGCCCGCGCTTGTGCAGCCACCGGGGCTGGGGGCGCGGCGCGCGTTCCTCTCTCGAGCTTGGCGTCCGCGCGGCGATCGGGAGCAGGGGCGCCGGAGAGGTCGAGAGGCTCCACTGGGCCCCCGGGCGGCGGGCTGGCCCGGCTTCCCCCGTCCTCTGCCGTCCTCTCCGGGGAGGCCGTGCTACGGCGTCACCATGAGCTGCCCTTGTCTCTGCAGCACGGAGCGCTCATCTGTCCGGGGAGCCACGAAGTGGCCGCTCGTGACCGGGCCGGGCTGCGTGCGGACCCTGCCGTGTGGCATGAAGCATCCACACCTTTTAGTGCCCGGCTTTTCCCAGTGCAGGAGCCGTGACCCTCTCAGCAACACTGTGGCTTGGTGTCGAGGCCACGGCAGTGGGACCTTGGTGGACACCGGTGTTGACTTCCATGTCTGTTTACAGTTGTGAGGCTTCGCTGTGTCTCGTAGGCAGGTGAAGAATGGAGAAAGCTGTCCCTTCTCCCACACATTCGGCTGCTACACCCCGGAGGCCCTTGAGTTTCCTTGCAAGTGCATTGCTTCCCCTGAATTTGTTGTTTTGTTTTTTTGTGACAGGGTCTCACCATGTAGTTCATGCTGGCCTCAAAGTCACAGCGATCCTCCTAGCTCAGCCTCCCAAGTGCTGGGGTTACAGGCCTGCACCACAACGCTCAGCTTCCCCTGAATTTGAAGAGTCAAATAGCCTTTCTGGTTTTCTTTCTTTTCTCCCTTAACTTCCGAAAACCTGGAGGCTGAGCAGGAGAGCCGTGACACCCCACCCTCCTCCAGTTTGCACTGCTCAGGGCAGCCGGCAGCCGGCAGCCGGCAGCCGGCAGAAGGAAGGGCTGCCTGGCTGGGGTATGTGAGGTGTGCAGAGGTAGAAGGGTGCCTAAGCTGTGGCTGCTGGCGGGACCAGGAAGTTGTAGGCTGGGGGTCCTTGTGGTGTAGAGGAGGCTGGGACTGCCAGGTTGTGGTCTCGTTCCTGCTGCTGCCCTGGAAGTACCTCTGGCAGTTGCCTAGTCTCTTCTTCCTCTCTGGCCAGTTGCTGCTGGGGTTGTGTTGTGTGATGGTTTGGGGAGGGGAGTGGCTCAGTTTAACTATTCACTGCTCTGGTGGGGTGCTGCAGGGCCTTTGGGGGTGTCCCTTGCCTGCAGTGTGCAAGTATACAGGGCCCTCAGGATTTAACCCAGATGCAGGCCTCAGCTGGCATCTGAGCAGGCCTTATGCTGCTTTTTCTGTGGCCCTGTATCACAGTGCATCTGTCAAGGGAGAAGCCAGGGGTTGTGTGTTCATATTTCGTGTGTTTGTGAAACACACCGTCACAGTGAGGATTTGCCCTTGGGCATCAGACCCCCAAACCACCCTAGCTTTGCCCTGTCACCTCCTAGGTGTTCTTAGCAGTTACATTTCCTGGTTCCTGGTGCATCCCTGTATGTATGAGACTGTCCCCCTTGTACTGCACAAGTTGTGGCAGGGTAGGCCCTGGGGAGCAGGAGTCCCAGATGGCATCCCTCGGGGGAGGACCACAGCTCTGGCCAGAGAGTACAGGTTCTCTTATCAGAGCTGTGGCTGTGGCTGGGTCTCATTTCAGTGTGCCCCACAAGAAAGATGCCCCTTTCTGGATGGGCTGTGGCACTCTGTCCTGTACTTCCTTCCAGAGTTGGTATTTCCCGCAGGGGTTTGTGGCCCGGACTTGCTGCCAAGTGAGTTCACCAAACAGCAGAGTACAGGCTCTTCACTGAGTCTGGATTTGTGGCCAGTTATCTTAATCTTAGAGCAGCAGATAGAGGAAAAGTTTGTGATTGGCTAAAAGTACTTCTTGGTTTATTTCCAGGTAGCAGCAGTGTACTGCCATTGGCAATTTCCTCAAGTTAACATACCCTCAGTATTGAGGAGACATCAGCCAGAATCTGGGGGTCTGAGGTGCCTTGCCGCCCACCCCCCGTGGGGCTGTCCCTGGCCCCATCAGAGAAGGGTGTTCTTGGAAAATTATCTTAACAAATTCCTGGATTAGTTCCTCATGAGAGGTGCTTCCTCCACAGGCTACCTGAAAAGAAGGTAACAGCACTGAGTCTGGCCCAAGAGTAATCAAAGGAGGGTCCAGTGGAACAGCATTCTGAGGCTGTTGGTACAGATGGCCCATGTTGTCCTTAGGGTGGCCGTGGCAGGTCCCACTGACAAGTCAGGAGAGGCTCAGCCCAGTGTCTGCCCCTCTGTTGCCCAGTCTGGGCGTCGTGGGACTCCAGAGGCAGGTGATAGACAGGGCCCCAGGAGCCTCAGCTGCGCCTCACAGGCTCCTGAGAGTGGTCAGCCTGGGCCCTTCTGGTGGCCAGTCTTCAGTTGAGAAACACTTCTCTGCCTCAGCTTAGAATGAGTTTTTTTGTTTTGTTTTTTTGAGATAGGATCTCACTGTGTAGTTCAAACTGGTCTTGAATTCACTGTATAGTCCAGGCTGGCCTGAAACTCATTGCAGTCCTCCTGTCTCGGCCTCCTGAGTGCTGAGATTACAGGCATGCACCACCATGCCTGTCAAGATGAGTTCTTTTTGTTCATCCCTGGAGTGTGTTCCTCAGAAGCCTTGCACAAAAGCAACACTAGTTATCAGGAGCTGGGATCTCGCTTTGTGTGTGGCTCTATGGATGTGTTTCTCTGTATGGTTGACATTGCACTTCGTGTGTTGTCTCACAGCTTGGCCTCTTCTGTGCAGAAATGTTCATGGCACCAGGATGTGATGTGGGAGTGAGTCATTCTTTCAGGGGACCTGCAACTCAGTACAGTTTGGGAATTACCTGGCTCTGTTCTCTTTCAGTGCTGAACTCCAATGTGCAGCAATGGATGATGACAACCTGAACAAGCTCGTGGACCAAAGCCCAGGGCCAGATGGATGCCCCCGAGTTGGCCCTGCAGACCTGGTCAGCAGTTCTGGTGAGCTGCCCAGCACTGGGAGGGCCCCTGGAAGGAGCAAGGGCACCTTGTGTTTTCTGCAGGCCACTGGCCACCCTTGAGAGATGGTCTGCATTTCAATTTTCAGCTTTCAACCTTTCAAAAAAATTACTCTTTGGTTTTAAGTCATAGATGTATAGTACATTTGTTCCCTTTGTCTTTTGATTTTTTTTGTTATTTTGAGATGAAATCTTTTTTTAAAATTTAAAAAAAAATTTTTTTGGTACCAGGAATTGAACTTATGACCTCATACTTGCGAGGTAGGAGCTTATGCCACTGAGCTATATCCCCAGGTTGTTTTTATTTTTTTTTTGGTGGTACTGGGAATCAAACTCAAAACTTTGCGCTTGCCAGGCAGGCGCTTATGCCAGTGAGCTATATCCCCAGCCCCCAGTTTTTTTTTAATTTTAAAGAAAAAGTAAAACAGTTTCAAAACAAGATAACAGGAGGGTAACAATGGTTAATACATTGCATATTGTTATCTTTAAATTAATTACTCATAGTGCAAGATACTGACACTTAATTGTCCAAACATTAGTGCAAACCTTTCTTTTCAGTAATTTTTATTCATTTATTTTTAGTTTAGTTTTGTTTTGTTTTCCGGTACGGGGAATCGAACTCACGACCTTGCGCTTCCCAGGCAGGCGCTGTGCCGCTGAGCTAAATCCCCAGCCCTAAGCCTTTCTTTTCCATAAACAAAGGGAAATTAGTAGCATAATGATCTTAATTATTGTGTGTATATCCTTTTTTTTTTTTTTTTTTTGGTTTTTGGTTTTTGGTTTTTTTCCGGTACTAGGAATTGAACGCATGACCTCAGGCTTGCCAGGCAAGCACTTATGCCACTGAGCTATATCCCCAGCCCTTCTCTTCTTTTTTCCCCCATCCCAGGTTCTTTTTCCTTTTGGACAGTTTCTTCCCATGGTATACTATCTATTGTACATTTTGTTTTGTTTTGTGGTTTTTTCCTTTTTTTTTTTCTGGTACCAGGAATCGAACTCACGATGTTGCGCTTGCCAGGCAGGCACTGTGCTGCTGAGCTAAATCCCCAGCCCCTTCTATTGTACATTTTGGATCTTTTTTTTTTTTTTTAAACCACTGAACCACATCCCCAGCCCCCTACATTTTGGATCTTAATTACTCTTTCAGCTTCTCACACTAGGGAGACAATACGATGTTTACACATGCACGTGTGATTTATTTCACTGATGAATATGGTCTTGAGTTGCATCCATTTATGTATAAAAGCTTCCAGTTTATCCTTTTTTATGGCTGAGGAGTAATTTTTCTGGAGAGACACCCAGAATGGGAATAGCTTGGGCAAAGGGACCTCCAATCCTAGTTTTTTGAGGAATCTCTACACTGATTTCCACTGTGTTTGTGCCAGTTTATACTTCTGCAGAGTGGAGAAGGATTACTTTTTCTTCACAGCCCCTCCAGCATTTGTTACTGGTTGATTTGATGATAGCCATTCTTTTTGGGGTGAGATGGAATCTCAGTGTTGTTTTAATTTGCATTTCTCAAATGACCAGTGATAGTGAACATTTTTTCATATATTTATTTGCTGTTTGTATTTCTCTATCTGGGAAGTGTATATTCATCTCAGATGCCCATTTTTGGATTGGGTCTTTAAATTTGGGAGATGTGATTTTTTTTTTTTTTTTAGTTCTTTATATGTTCTTGACAGTAATCCTTTGTCTGAGGAACAGCTGCCAAACTTTTTTTCCCATATTGTGGGTTGTCTCTTCACTCTATGGTTTCTCTTCCTGTGCAAAAGCTTTTTAATAAGATGAGATCCAGGTTATTGATTCTTTGTGATAGTTCCTGTGTGATCGGGTTTTATTCATGAAGTCTTTGCCTTCACCAGTGTCTTCAAGAGTTTTACCTATTGTATCTTCCAGAAGATTTAATATTTCTGTTTTAATATTTAGATCTTTGATCCATTTGAGTTTAGTTTAGTGTATGGTGAAAGATATGAGTTCAGTATTAATCTTTGGCATGTGCAGAGCCAGTTTTTCCAGCACCATTTATTAAAGAGGCTGGCTGTCTTCCAGTGAATGAGTTTGGCACCTTTGTCAAAAGTAATGTGGCTGAGTATGTCTGGAGTTGTTTCTGTATCTTTTAATCTGTTCCATTGATCTTCTGGTCTGTTTTTTTTTTTGCCAGTACCGTGCTGTTTTTATTGTGTAGCTTTATAGTTTTGTTTTGTTTTGGTTTTGGTTTTTTTTGGTCTGTTTGAGACAGGGTCTCACTCTGCACTTCAGGCTGTCCTTGAGCTCACTTTGTAGCTCAGGCTGGTCTTGAGCTCTAAACGATGCTCCTGCCTCAGCCTCCCAAGTGCTGGGATTACAGGCGTGTGCCACCACGCCCAGCGAGGCTGTAGTATAATTTTAAGTCAGGGATTGCGATGCCCATTGCCTTGCCTTTGTTACCAAGAATTGCCTTTGCTGCTGTAGGTTTCTTCTAGTTCCAAGTGAATTTTAGGATTGTTTTCTCTATTCTGTGAGATATGCTGTTGGAATTTTGATCAGAATTGCATTAAATCTGTGTAACAGTTTTGGAAGTACGACCGTTTTCACTATATTGGTTGTTTCTACCCAAGAGCAAAGGATATTTTGGCATTTTCTGGTATCTGCTTCAATCTCCTCAGAGTAATGTAATTTTCAGTGTGTAGATGTTTTACTGTGTTAGATTGATTCCTAAGTATTTCTTTCTCTTTTTTTTTTTTTTTGGTTGCTATTGTGAAAAGTGTTGTTTCCCTAATTTCTCTCTTGATTAGTTTGTTATTCATATACAGGAAGGCTATTGATCTTTGAGTGTTGACTTTGTATGCTACTGAATTTGTTTATTAAGTCTAGCAGTTTTTTTATTACTTTCTTTTTTTTTTTTTTTTCTTTTTTTAGGTACGGAGAATTGAACTCAGGATCTTGTGTTTGCCAGGCAGGCACTTGTGCCGCTGAGCTATATCCCCAGCCCCAAGTCTAGCAGTTTTTTAGTGGAGTTTTTGGGGTCTTCTATATAGTGTATTGTATCATCTACAAATAATGATAGTTTAACTTTTTCTTGTCCCATCCTTATTCCTTTTATTTTTTTCTCTTGTTTAATTGCTCTAGCTAAAGTTATCAGAGTTATGTTGAACATGGGTGGATACAGTGGATATCCTTGTCTTGTTCCTGATTTTAGAGTGAAAGCTTTCAGTTTTTGTCCATTTGGTAGATGTTGGCTGTTGGTTTGTCATAGTTGGCTTTTATCAGATTGAGATAAAGACCATCTAGTCCAATTTTCTGTAGGGTTTTTATCATGAATGGGACTGGATTTGGTCAAAAGATTTTTCTGCACTTACTGAGATGGTCATACAGTTTTTGTCCTTGGCTCTGTTAATATGGTGTATTACATTTATTGATTTACATGTGTTGGTGCATCCCTAGGATGAATCCTACTTGGTCATGGTGTGTAATGTTCTTGATGGTTTGCTGCATTCTGTTTGCCAGTATCTCATTGAGGATTTTTGCATCTATATTCATTAGGGAGATTGGCCTGTAATTCTCTTTCTTAGTTGGGTCCCTCTCTGGTTTTGGTATCAGGGTAATACTTGAGATGAGATCTTGCTGTGTTGTCCGTACTGGCCTTATGATCCCGAATTCAAACAGTCTTGCCCACTCAGTCTCCCAGGTAGTGCCTGCTACTCTGCATGGCCTTTTGTATTATTTTTATTTTATTTATTTATTTATATATTTTTTTGCCTTTTTGAGACAGGGTTTCACTATGCAGCTGAGGCTGGCCTTGAACTCATTTTGTAGCCCAGGCAGGCCTCGAACTCACAGTGATCCTCCTGCCTCAGCCTCCCAAGTGCTGGGATTACAGGGGTGCGCCACCACACCTGGCCTGTCTTATTTTTTGTTTGTTTTGTTGTGGGTTTTTTTGTTGTTGTTTGTTTTTTGTTTTTTGTTTTTCACTGGTACCTGGAATCGAACTCACGACCTTGTGCTTGCCAGGCAGTCACTTTGCCTCTGAACTAAATCCCCAGCCCCGGCCTGTCTTATTTTTAATGCAGGCAACACAAAAGCAGATTTAAAGCTCTCCACTTTTCCCTTCAGCCCCATCTTACCAGCCCTGGGCAGTGTGGTAGCCCTTTGGCAAGGGCCTTAGTTGTGATACTATCCCTGAGGCCTGTGCTTTTATCACTGGTGGTTTAGAAGAAAGCAGCGATGGTCAAAGCGGAGACTCTGAGGAAGACACGGGCAGTGAGCATGGAGAGGAGACAGACAGAGAGGATGAGGAAGGGTCATCTGAGGAGGAAGACCCAGAAGACAGATCTGGTAAGATTTCCTGAGTAGTGTGTGGCTGTGTTGGATCTTCACAGCCTCCTGACTATCCTTTAGGGAGAGTCCTCTGCATGCTGGCCACATCCTGGCTGCTGTCTTCTGTTATGACTGCACTAGTACAGTGGCTCACCTCTGTCACATTCGACACAATTCCATAGGTCTCCTGTGGGAAGAGAAAACAGAAATGTCTAAGAACATGGAGTAGCTGGGACTAGGAGGTGACCAGCCTTGAATTTTTGTTTTGATAAGGAGAGGTCTTGCGAGCCCCTGACCTACCCGTGTGGCGTTCAGGTGCTGGGCAGGCAATCTGCCGACAGTTGTGTAGCCAGATATAGCTGGCCCAGAAACAGAGCATGTTGGCAGGTCCGTCTGTGGCTGTGCCTCTGCTTACTCTGTCCAGAATTGAGAGAGTGATGAGCACTGTTTGGCTTTATTAGGAAATTCCCAGCTTTCAGTCTGGTTGAGATTTGTGCCTATAAACTCCTTCAGGGAGCAGTGCTGGAAAGGGCAGTCTGCTCTGGTTCACTGGGGTGCTTTCTACCTATTCATGGCCACCCAGGGCTGTAGGGTACTCAGGCAGTTTCCCCTGACCTGGCCCGATAGCAGCCGCCTTCCTGTCTAGGTCAGCTCCCACTAACTTCCTCTGACATGGTCCTTGGGCCAAGAAATCATGCTCCTGAGCATCTCCTGTGGCCTGTGGATGTCAGTGTTAGAATGTCCCCCAAGGGTAACCTTTATGTTTCGGACATTGCTCACAGAAAACTGGCCTTGGCAGGCATTGCATGGGCCAGTATAACCTGACAGCTTGGCGTGTTATCCACCTCTACTTGCAGGGTTTAGGTTTTGAGTCTGTCCTGGGTTCAAGGTCACTGATGTGGCTTCTATTGCCTTGTCCCCCATTGTCCTGTTGCAGCAGGTCTTGGCACATGTGCTGGCGCTGACAGGGCTAAGGGGAGACATGAGGGGTGCTGTCAAGTCACTCCCTCTTTCCATTCTCAGACGTTGTGAGGGCCTGTTGGATGCCAACTCTGAGTGCTGGAGTCAAGGTGGAGCCTGTTTAGCCAGGGTCCTCCTGTCCTAGAGCTCATCTGTTGTGTAACAGCAGTCAGGATGCATGGTGAGAGATGTCAGGGGCCTCAGATATCAGCAGAGAGGGGCTCAGGGCTCTGGAGGTAAGGGGAAACTTTCAGAGAAGAGGATATCTGGGCCACAGCCTGAAGAATGTGTTGGCCAGGTAATGATGGGCACAGCATCAGGATGGAGTGTTTTTTTTTTTTTTTGTCTTTTTGAGACAGGGTCTTGTTATGCAGTTCAGGCTGTCCTTGAGCTCACTTTGTAGCCCAGGCTGGTCTCAAACTTGCAACGATCCTCCTGCCTCAGCCTCCTGAGTGCTGGGATTACAGACGTACGCCACCATGCCCAGCTGAGTGGAGTGTTCTTGAGGGACAGGTGGCACAGAGTCCCAGCCAGGTACAGGAGGAAGGAGGTGGGAAGGCACTGGTAGCTCTCTGTACCTGGTTCCTCCAGTGCCAGTGCCTCAGCAGCTGGTTGAGATGTAGCAAAAGTTGGAGAGGAGTTTCTCAGAGGGCTGCTCTGCTTTTTTTGCCCTGGTGTCTTCTCCCAGAGGCCATGTGCTGTACTGTGTTTGCTGCTGTGTCCCCAATTTGAGTGGGTCCTCAGCTCTCTCCATGAGTGCTCTCCCTTCTCCCACCAGGTCTGCAGCCATGGGCAGCCGGAGGTACTTCTCTGTGCGTTCTTTGTGTCCGGTACTCTGTTCGGTCTCTTTTCAGAGTGGTCGCTGTATGTGACCTGCCCTTCAAAGGAACTCTGCCCTTGGCTTCCACAGGCTGCCCTGCTGGTGCCAGCCCAGGTCATGCCTTCGTAGGTGTGGACCTCACTTACCCAGGCTAGAGTAGGGCACCTGCTTAGACCTTACTCACCTGTCTTCATCTGCCACCTCCACTCTGCTCAGGGTCCTTGTCCTTCTAATACTGAATGGATTTCCCTGTGCCCACAGCACTGCATGGAGCACAGGTGACCTGGGTTGCTGGTCTTCCTTCTAGCTTCTATAGAAAGAATCAGGTCACCTAGTGTCTCCTGTACTGTACAGACCCTTCCTTAGCCAGTGTCTTGGTTACTTTTCTCTCATTGCTGAGACAAAATACCCAACGTCCAAAATTAAGCAAGGAAAGGTTTATTTAGCTTACAGTTTGTGGAGGTTTCAGTACATAATTGGCTGGCTCTGAGGCAGAAGATAACAAAGCAACAAGAGCAAAGGGGGAAACGGCAGCGGAACGGCAGAACAGCCAGAGCAAAAAGGGAGGAATGGCCGCAAGCAGCTTCTTTCCCTGCCTTGCTTTGTAAATAGGCTACCACCACCTAAGGGGCATGTGGCTCTCACATAATTTCCATGCCCTCCTCTTCCACAGGCTCAGGATGTATACAAAGTAAGCACCCTGGCTTCCTGTTGAGTCACTTAGCCAAACCTCTAGACTCCCCAAGTTGACGCAATGTATCAACCATGACAGCCAGGCAGGAAGGTGCAATGAGTTGCCATTTGACCTCCTCCTTGGCATCTTCAGGGCTCTGGATTTATCTTGGAATTTTTTCCAGTCACCTCAAACCCAGCAGCATGGAATAGCATGTTTACCACCCTACTGTTTCAGGGGCTGGAGCCTGAGGACAGGTCAGCTGGGTCCTGCTCAAGGTCTCACCAGGTGGCTTCAAGTTGTTGGCCAGGCTGTACTTCCTTGGGCCAAGTCCTCATCTAAGCTCCGCCCGTTTAGGATCCTTGGCTGAGAGACTGGAGCCTGTTTTCCAGCAGTGTCAGTAGGGCCACCTCAGCTCTAGTTGGCTGTCCATCCTGGCAGGACGTGTCTCTCTGACTTCGCTCTCTGCATGCCACTGGAGAAATTTTGCTTTGAAAGAGTCACCTGGTAGGATTGTGTAGCAGGGATGACTGATGCCCTTTGCAGGTAGCAGCAGGACCTTCAGAAGGTCATCCAGCACTGCCACTGCGCCTCCTGCAGGGTGGAGTGCAGTAAAATCCTGCTTCCCTGGTCCGCAAAACTTAGATCCTTTGTATCTGTGTTGAGGAGTACAGGAAGAAAGGATGATGAACGTGTTTGCTGATGCTGTGTCCACTTGAAAACATCTCATTCCTCTGCTGGCCAGACCCCAGCCAAACTTCCCAGAAGTTGCCCATATCTCCATAATGTGTGTAACCTTTGTTTTTTAAAAGATGACCTGAAAATAGAAGGGAGACTATTGTTACACAAGAGGGAAGGAGTGCACATAGGAGGAGAGGTGTAAGGAGTTAGAAGGATGGATGGGATCAAAACATGCCATAGGCATGTGTGAAAATGGAATTCTAATATTTTATAAAGTTAATCGGTACTAATAAAAATGTACTACAAAAAGAAATTACCTATATCTGTTGTAGCCAGTGGCCCAGTTAAGAATTTGCATCCCTGAAGCAGGTGATTGGTTGTCACAAAGAAGTGTTAGAGACCCCTGTGGCTGTGCAGGGCTGCTGTCCTGAGGAGCACACTCCACATGTAGCAGTGCTGGGCCCTGGGGTCTCCTTAGCCCAGAGACTGCTGTTAAGTAGGGGAAAGCTCTCAGGACCTGGCCATATCAGTGGCCTGGGAGGTAGGTCCCGCAAGGAGCCAGAACTCTGAACAGAGGCCTGCTCATGGCCAGTGCTCCCTTTCACACAGCCAGTCCTGCCTTACACTAAAGCTGTAACACTTTCCTCAGGTTCTGAAGATTCTGAAGATGAAGTACAAACTTCAGAGGCACCTGAGGACCCTCTGGGGAGGCTGGAAGCTGGCAGTGTACTCACTTCGGATGAAGATGCAGAGAGCTGCCCGATTTGTCTCAATGTGTTCAGAGACCAGGCTGTGGGCACGCCAGAGACCTGTGCCCACTTCTTCTGCCTGGACTGCATTGTCGAGTGGTCCAGGGTGAGTTGGCCCATCCCCAGACACAGGGACGTCCCGGCACGGCCTGTGCCCTGGGCTTGGTCTGTCTGAGATTCCCTGTGAGTGAGGAGTTGGTGGAAGAGGGGCAAGGAGAGAACGACTTGCCAAGCCTGAACAGCGGACAAGCATCACAAACCCCTGTGTGTGCAGTCAGACCTGTGTGACTGGTCTGCCTGACGGGGTAGGTGCTGCTTGACACCACATCCTCACAGACACAGTGGGCTGTGGGTGCAGCTCAGCAGCTCACAGCAGAGGAGACACACGCGGGCATTACAGACCCACAGTGAGCCTTCAGAAGATGGGCTTCTGTCACACGCGTAGAACCACTGGAAAGATTTCAAAGAAGTAGAGTAGTGCACATGTGGCGGTGAGGACTCTGCCTCTCTCCTCTCACCTCATCTTTCCCTTAATGGCAGCATGGTCAGCTGCCACACCCTCTGGCACCCTCCTCTCTTCACCCGTGTCCCAGGGAGCTCAGGGATGTCTCTGTGCAGAGTGTAGACTTCGCTCGTGCTTCCATGCAGCCATGTATGTGCCAAAGGTGGCACACTAGCTGTCATTTGAGCATCTCTGACTCTGGACTGTGTTCCTGGTGGGTTAACCCTGATTAGATTCAGGGTTAGGTTTTTGTCAAAGCCTTCATTTAAATAGAAGATAGAAAATTGTGTTTCGTCACGTATGATGGCAAATGCCTATAATCCTAATACTGGGGAGGCTGAGGCAGGAGGATTGCTGCAAGTTTGAGGCTAGACTGGGCTACATAGTGCGTTCAAGGCTAGCCTAAACTGCATGATGAGACCCTGTTTTAAAAAAAAAAAAAAAAGTGTTTGCTGCATATCTCTTTTTTTTTTTTGAGACAAGTTCTCACTATGGAGTTCAGACGGGCCTTCAGCTCACTTTGTAGCCAAGGCTGGTCTCAAACTCACAAGGATCCTCCTGCCTTAGCCTCCCGAGTGCTGGGATTACAGGTGTGCACCACCACGGCTCCTGCTGAGTATCTCCTTGTAGCAAGCCAAACTGACTGGCCTATGCTGCAGGTCCCACGTTCCTTTTTTGGTCTGGACTTTCTCTGGTCCCTGAGTGCGGGGTCCCTGTTTATTTTCTTCCGGTACCGGGAATCAAACTCACGACCTTGTGCTTGCCAGGCAGGCGCTGTGCCGCTGAGCTAAATCCCTAGCCCCGGGGGTCCCTGTTTGGGTGCCATCTATAGGATCCAGTCTGTGAGCTTTGTATCCGACTGAGAGACCAGGTTGAAAAGGAGACAGAATGAGGCTAAAATGTCTCCCTTTGACAAAGAGCCTTGGGTGACAGGCACACTCTGCCTTTATTTACTCACACACGGGTACAAGCAATTGGAGTAACACAGCGTCCATCTGCCTTCCCTTAACCGTGGTACATGTCCAGATAAGCAGCAGGATCTCAGTTGTGCAAACTTTTCCCTGGAACCTGCAAGCATGACACGCTTGTATACCACTTTTCTTCTTAGTGCTCACAGAGGAGGCCAGTTAGACTTTAATCTTGCTATCTGGTCTCCTACATTGCGTGTTTGGTAATTACTAGAGAACAGAAGAAAAAAGATGTAAGGATTGGACAGGAGAGTGTATTTCTAGGTAGTGTTTGCAAGTAAAAGGAAGTGTTGAACTGCTTTTAGCAGGATTGCTGGGCACAGGGTTAATAAAGATAAAAATGGGATTCAAACCATAAAATGATGCATAAGACAAGTTTTCTGAAACAGTTGCACACTGAAGTGTAGAAAGGCCTATGCTGGAAGGAGGTATGTAGGAGGGATGGCCAGTGATGTGGGCCACAGTCCCTGCAGGATGCACCTCACAACACTTGACAGACCCTGGAATTCACATGATAGGACAATAAGAAAACAAGCACTGCAAAGATTGCTTTGAAGGAGGGAGAAGGGCTAGGGATATAGTTCAGGGCCCAGCACCTGCCTGGCAAGTGCAGGTTGTGAGTTAGGTTCCTGGTACCAAAAAATAGAAAGGAGAGGTTACCTGTTGGGTACTGAGATCTATAAAACTATAGTGACCAAACTTGGATTAGTTCAGAATAAAACCCAGACCCAGGGAGTACACAGGGTATCCAAAGGAGGTTGGGACATGCTGTGGTACAGGGTGGCTCTGCTGCTGGGGAGGGTGGGGCTCTCTGAGAACCAGGGCCCTGGGCTTACCACACACACTCCTGGAGGAATGCAGAAATGGAAAGGGACACTCTGGAACTCCTGGAGAGTAGAGGGGGCTCCTAAAGGGTCAGCAAAGATCTGGGATAGAGGTGAATGTGAGGGGCTTAGCAGCATGGTCTTGGGGAAACTGACCCCCCAGGAGGCACTGTGGCACACCCACTCCACTGGATGAGTGGACTGGGCAGAGCCTCAGACTCAGACTCCTAGCGAACATGGCTGCATCCAGAGATACACCCAGTGGTGTGGACCACAGGCCTAGGCCACCTGCTTAGTGGGAAGGAGGGCAGAGCTCAGTGCCCAGTGTGCAGTGTGACTCCATCTGTAAGAAATACAGGACACAGGCCCTCGGGACACAGGAGAGTGGAGGGGATAGCAGGGTGCCAGCTCCATGGGATGAGCGTGCATCAGAACCACCAAGATGTACAGCTAAGTTTTAGTGTGTTGTATTGTGTATGGTCTCTTTCAGTAAAGGCCATGAAAAGAAAAATAATTGCTGCAGGAGTCTGATCAGTGTCCATGCTATGAAAACAAATACTGAAGACCTTCCAGATAGCACCTCATCTTGGGAAAGCTGAGGTTTTAGGTTTTTTTGTTTTTTGGGGGGTTTTTTTTGTTTTTGTTTTGTTTTTGTTTTGTTGTTTTTGTTTTTGTTTTTTTGGTCTTTTTGAGACAGGGTCTTGCTATGCAGTTCAGGTTGGCCTTGAGCTTACTTTGTAGCCCAGGCTGGTCTTGAACTCACAGTGATCCTCCTGCCTTAGCCTCCCGAGTGCTGGGATTACAGGCGTGCGCCACCATGCCCGGCTCTGAGGGGTTTTTTGTTTTTGTTTTTGTTTGTTTTGTTTTTTGAGACTAGGTATTGTTATGGAGCTCAGGCTGACCTTGAACTCACTGTGTAGCCCAGGCTGGCTTTGAACTCACAGCAGTCTTCCTACTGCAGCCTCCTGAATGCTGGGATTACAAGTATGCACCACCACGCCTGGCACATAGCCAACAATTTGAACAGAGGTTCACAGGGATAACCATATGCTGTCCCAGCTAAAATGCTGGCTCTCCCTACATCCCATGTACAAAGCCCTATGTGTGAATGGTCCTGCCCATAGCCTCCCTTATTCCCTTTCTCCCTCCCTGCACAGCCCTTGGGGCAGGTGTTTGTGTTTCCGTCGCTGCTTTGTCCCTAGCGTGTAGCACCAGGCCAGGCACAGGGACACTCAGTAGTGTAAAAGGAACTTTTAATATCTAAGTGAATTTTTTATTTTGAAGATGTTATTGGTAGTGAAAGTGATTGGAATATAATTTTTTTGACACAGGAACTTGATATAATTTTATTTCTTACAGAATGCAAACTCCTGTCCAGTTGATCGAACGATATTTAACTGTATTTGTATTCGAGCTCAGTTTGGTGGTAAAATCTTAAAGAAGGTAAGTGTAGATGCTGCCCCTTTGTGTCCCTAACTGAGGCAAGAGCATGCTTTTAGAAGGTGATTTGCTCTCCCGAAATGAGTGGGTGGTGATTAGATGTCTTTGGAAATGGACTGATGTGCCCTTTGTGGCTATGAGCATGGAGCTGGGGCTGGAGCTTCTTGTCTGGGCAGTGGGCTGTGGGCTGTGGGTGGGGGCAGTGGCCAGGATGGTGGGGGTTCCTAAGCCTCAACTGCCACACCCTCCTCTGGAAGAGCTTCCTGTTGTCAGCAGAAGGGTGAGGGCCTAGAGGAAGCCTTTCCCCCCGGCCAGGTTTCCCAAAATGCTGGCTTGTGTTCTCTTGGGTGAACAGGACAGTGTTTTCCTCAGTTGACTTGCTTCTTTGCTTCTCCATTGTGTATGCTTTTTGTTATTGCAGTGCTTGTAGTTGAATCTAGGGATATATGCTGGGCACGTGCTCTGCTGCTGAACCACATCCCCAGCCCCTACCACCCCTTTTTTTCAGTTTTCAGTTTTAAGACAGGGTCTCACTAAATTGATGGTGCTGGGCTTGGATTTGTAATCCTCTGTCTCAGCCTTTGATACTGTATTTTTGTTCATTTTTTGTTTTTCGTTGGTAGTGGGAATTGAACTCAGGACCTTGTGCTTGCTAGGCAGTGCTGCACCGCTGAGCTATATCCCTGGCCTGCCACAGCCTCTGAGTAGGTGGGATTACAGTTGTGTCCCACACCTACTTTTTTTAGTTTATAGAGTGTAAGAAGCCACATATATGTTCAGGGGAGAGTTTAGCTCCTTTGTGTACAGATTTCTCTGGGGCATGAGCATCCTCCTGCACTAACCTCTTAGGTTTGGCCTCTTAGAGGCCACTTCCTCTTGCTGGCTCAAGCATGCCTGCCACTATCTCTGCACTTGGTCCTCTGCCTGGACAGCTCAGGCTCAGGGACATGTTGACAGATATCTGCAGTTAGACTTCTCAAGCTAGTGCTGTTGGAGCTGGTGTAGGACCCAGTGGGCCAAGGTATAGGCTGCCTCCGCCTGAGCAAAGGCTGTTTGCAAGCTGGGCTATGGGCTGATGAGCCTGCGAGAGTAAGGGCCTAATAGGCCTAATAGGGAGATGGGGCCCAGAGCCTAATAGGGAGATGGGCAGGGCATGGGTTTCCCCTTTCAGAGCAAGTGTGTCATAGCCCTTGCATGCCCTGTCGACTGGAGCGAAGGTGTGCTCTCCATGCTTGGCTGCTGACCCCTGATGAAGCTGTGCACCAGAACAAGTGTTTGCTTAGTTGTTACTGGTTTCTGAGCAGTGTGTGTGTAGTGCCTGGGGGTGGAGCCCAGGGCCTTCCACAGGCTAGGTGGGTGTCCACTGCTGCACTGTGCTCCTGCCCAGCCTCTGAGCTCTGAGCAGTGCTGTTTAACTCTGCCCCTGTTTTCCACTCTGTGCCTCTCTCCGTCCATGTCTCTTTGTGTGTTCAGCTTGCTCTCTGCTTACCTGTTTTGAGGTTGAGAGAGTGTGAAGGATTGTGTGCGTGTCTTGTAAGGACTCCAAGTCCATGCAGCCTGGGTAGATTGCAGGCCAGTAAATGGCTCTGGGATAGCTGCACACTGCTACCAGCTGGCCCCCTGGGTTTCAGGGTCTATCTGGAGTGTGACCAGCAGTTCTGTCTTCAGATGCCAGTGGAGAACACTAGAGCCTGTGAGGAGGAAGAGGAGGAGGACCCCACCTTCTGTGAGGTGTGCGGCAGGAGTGACCGTGAGGACCGGCTCCTCCTCTGCGATGGCTGTGATGCAGGGTAAGGGTGGTGGGGCCTGTCTGAGGGGCACAGGGTAGGGGTGCCAGAGTTGCCCCAGTCTGACCTGGCTTCTTGTATTGAGCACTGAGCTCGCCTGCCCCAACAGCTGCGTCGAGTTCTGTAGACAGCAGCTGCTGCAGGCTGTCCATGCTCCTGCTATCTCCACCTCTGCCTTTCCCTAAAATCATGCTGAGGCTCACATGGGTGACTGTAATGTACCCCCGCAGCAGAGATGGTCTGGGGGCCTCCTGAAAGAGGTGTGTAGGTTGGGAGCCCTGTGGGAGGAGCTCCGTGGCCGCGCTGTCCTGACCACCTTCATCCCTTAGGTTTCTGACTCCTACATGACCCCAGGTTGCTTCTAGATGCCTTTCGTGGGCCTGGCACTCCAGAGGATCAGGGACCCTGCTCTGTGCTGGCAGGCTCTGGCTAGAGTCCCCATCGATCTTTTGGGTTTTAGTAGACTCCTTGTCTCCTGCTGAGGCTTTGGGCATTGATGTGAAGGTTTTTTCTAGTGCTGAGCATGGTGGCACACACCTGTAATCTCAGCACTTGGGAGGCTGAGGCAGAAGGATTGTTGGGAGTTGGAGACCAGCCTGGGCCACAAAGTGAGCTCAAGGCCAACCTGAGCTGCATAGTGAGACCCTGTCTCAAAAAGACCAAAAAAAAAAAACCATGAGTTTTTCTGTGTGATAGCATGGTGAGAGGGTAATGGGGACCTTCCCCTGGGATGTGCTTAGCGGGTGTTGAAGGAATATGGAGACAAGGGCCTGCAGTGCTCTTTGGTGGAGCTGGGAGTCTCAGGGTTTGGTCAGGAGCCTGTATCCCCCCAGAATTGTGCACACACACCCGACCTTTCATTCTCCTCTACACTTGCCCACCCTTGTCAACTTCCGCACCCTCACCTCCCATTGGGTGGTACTCACTACACAAGGCCTGTTCATCTTGTGAGCTTCCTCGGGCTCTGGCACTCGGCCTCTGCAGTGTCCTCCACCCGTCACCATCCTGTCTGTCTCCCTACTCACCAGGCTCAGCTGGAACCGACGTGTGGTCACAGTTTGTTGAATACCTCAACCCCATAGATGTTTACCTCCTTAGGATCCTTTATGTGTGTTCACTGCATATTGCTCAGAGCATGTGCTCACTTTGATATGTAGGTGGGTTTTTTGTTTTGTTTTTTGGGGTTACTTTTTGGTACCAGCAGTCAAACTTAGGACCTCAAACTTGCTAGGCAGATGCTGTGCCTCTGAGCTATATCCCTGGCTCTTCCTTTGTTTTCTGTTTCATTGTATTAGTCAGGTTGCCTCAGTTTGGACCTTCCTGCCTCAGCCTTTCAAGTAGCAGGGATTACAGGCACATCCAGCCTTTTTTATTTTGAGAAGGGGTCTTGCTGTGCTACCCAGGCTGCCTTGAACTCCTGGGCTCAAGCAATCCTCCTGCCTCAGCTTCAAGAGCAACAGAGAGCACAGGCACGAATGAGCCACTGCATCTGGCTGTGGTGTGTGCTGCTTTTGTTGATGACTGTTTGGAGGGTACAAGTACTAAGAGGTCCTAGCGTAGTCTACCACGCTGGCACACCGCTTAGTGAATGGATTGCCAGTTGCTACTGTGAGTATAAGTAGAAAGTTCAAAAAGGCGATTCAATGGAGACAGAGGCTAGGGGCAGGGGCTTAGCACTGTTCACATCTGAGATAGCTCTTCCTGCTGTTGTGGCTCCCCCAGTCATTTACTTATTCTAGTAGAGTGTGTATGTCTGTGTGTGTGTTAGTGGGTATTGAGCTCCATGAGCAATGAGCTATATCCCTACAGATTTTTATTTTGTTTGAGACAGGGTCTCAGAATTGCCTAGGCTGCTGGCCTTTCACTTGCTTCTCCTGCCCAGGTCTTCTGAGCAGCTAGGATCACAGGCGTGTGCCACACAACCAGCTCCAGTAAACTTCTAGCAGTCTCTGGAGAGTTTTACAGTTGTATTAAAACTTTGTATTGTAAAGTTCATTTGTAAATTGACTTGATTTTATGTGCTTGAATTAGTCACTAGATAAAAGAACTCAAGTACATAAAAATTCTGATGGATCTAAAACATTAAAACTAATTGCCAGGTGTGGTGGCACATGGCTGTAATCCCAGCATTCAGGAGGCTGAAGCAAGAGAATAACTATGAGTTCAAAGCATGGGATATAAAGTGAGTTCTAGGGCAGCCTGCACCATACAGTGAGACCCTGTCTCAAAAAGACCAAATATATGGCCACTAAACACAGTACTCTTACATTTATATATACTGGCACACTGGGAATATTTGCAGTTAGCTAAATTTTCTTATAACTAAGATGTTCAAGTCAGAAGACTAAAATTGCTCGACCATTCAAGTGGCATCAGGGTGGGATTTGTTTTGTTTTGTCTTTTTTTTGTGTGTGTGTGTCTTTTTCAGACAGGGTCTCGATATGCAGTTCAGGCTGGCCTTGAGCTCACTTTGTAGCCCAGGCGGGTCTCAAACTTGCAACGATCCTCCTGCCTTAGCTTCCCTAGTGCTGGGATTACAAGTGTGCACCACCACGCCTGGCCGGAGTGTTTTTAAGATTGCAAACCGAGCTGGGCGTGGTGGTGCACGCCTGTAATCCCAGCACTCGGGAGGTGAGGGAGGAGGATTGCTGTGAGTTTGAGGCCAGCCTGAAGTGTATAGTGAAATCCTGTCTCAGAAAAACCAAAAAAGATTGTAGACCAAGTTAAAAGTGTGTATTCTGGGCTGGCTATGCTGCACGGTCTACCAGCTCCACCCCACCTCTGGATGCTATCACCCTGGGGAGAGGCTTGGGAAATTATGGTGTTCTGACTCCAGATGTGGGGATCCTGCCTCAGCTCTGGTCCTGTAGTCCATCAAGTCTGCTTGCCTGGCAAGGTGCTGTCAGACCCCCAAGTGGGGTTCAGTTGTCACCTACACTGAGTGAGCAGCTGGCTATCTGGGCTGTGTGTCACTCCCACACGCCCTCGAGGGATTCAGTTGCCTTGCTGGAGCAGCAACCAGAACTGAGGGAAGCATTTATGTTTACCACAAGGAGAGGCCGTGGGGGGTGTGGGGAGGGTGAGTACCTCTGTGCCCTCTCTGGACAGTCCCCTCTGACCCCTGCACACTCAGCTGTCCAGAAACACTCGGAGTCCCTTGCACAGGCAGGATTGATTGAGCCATGGAAGCATGTGGCAATGAGGCTGGACAGAGGGGAGATCCCAGTGGCAACAGAGTCCTCATTGTCCCCAAGGGCCAGCAGGGAAGGTCAGAGTCTTTGGGGAGGAAGTTCTGCACTGGTAGCTGTGGACAGCAACTAAAACGTGTACTCGTCATATCCCAAGTGGCACAGTTAGTCCCTCACAGGCATGGTGCAGACCCAAGCGAGCGTAGGTGCTAACTTGCCTACTGGTGAAGCCCAGGGCCAGGGCTGGGACAGACAGCGTGCCCTCTTTCCTGCAGGTACCACATGGAGTGTCTGGATCCCCCGCTCCAGGAGGTGCCTGTGGATGAATGGTTCTGTCCGCAATGTGCTACGCCGGGCTCTGGCTCTGCTGCTGGTAATGCCTGTCCTGTCTCATCCGTAGGTGGGGTCCTGGAGGAGGACAGGGAGCAGGGCCAGTGGTGGGGGCCCTCTGGGACTCATTTGTGCTCTTGTGGGGGAGTTGCGGAGACTCAGCATTGCCAGGCTGTGGTGGGACCATGGATCTGGGGGTGCCAGTCTACAAGGCCTGGAGAAGTTCTTGGGAGAAGTCAGTCCTGTCACCTGGCCTGGTGTGCCTGGGTGGCCCCAGGTGAACCATGATACGGGTGTTTCTTTCCAAGATGTGGCCCCGGTGAGTGAGGAGGAGGTCTCCCTGCTTTTGGCCGATGTAGTGCCCACCACCAGCAGGCTGCGGCCACGCATAGGCCGAATCCGGGCCATCGCCAGGACAAGGCAGAGTGAGAGAGTGAGGGCGACAGTGAACCGGAACCGGATCTCCACAGCCAGGAGGGTCCAGGTGGGTGGCATTGCCAGGCCTGTCCTGCTCAGCTTGGTCTCCAGTCTAGACTTGGTTGGGAGGGTGTGGTCAGCGTGTCATGGTACAAGGCTGTGTGCAGCCAACCCTGGAGGGAACGGTGCCTCATTGTGGGCCAGCGTGAGGCACCACTGGGGCCCTGGTCCAGGTATATGGGAAACAGAGGGTGAATCTGGAGGCCCCCACCCTGCGTATACACCACGCACATACTTACACCGGGCCCATGCTGGTTCCTCACCCCAGGTGTGCTGAATGTCCTTCCGCACTTACACCCCGGGTCCTCTGTGTTAGGTGCTTGCTCTCTGTGGACTTTGCTGGGTAGGGTGGCAGCACCTTCTCTACGTCAGGTCTGTCTGTGGACAGCATGGTGCCAGAGCAGCTGAGTTCCATGTGGGTGGGGAAACGGCCTGCCCCATGGATGCCCATAAAGCCCCGTCTGTCTCCTCTCTGCTTCCCCAGTGTCTACCATGTCTGTGGGTAGCTAGTTCTTATCCCTCTCAAGTCAATTCTCCTCTGTCCTATCCACCCGCTTCTCTGGTTCCACCAGCTCCCATCTGTCTCCTTCCTACCCCTCAGCTGAAATCTGTGCTCCTCAGGACCTGCCCACTGACTCAGTTTGCCACCCACTTGTCTAGCTCAGTTGGGAACCACTGTTTTCGTGGCCCTGCTGGCCCTGGGCTCTGCAGAAGAGCCTGCGGGGCAGATTCTGTTGATCTTGGTGGACCCTGTTCAGGGCTCCATGCATGAGTCTGTGCAGGGTCTCTGCCATGGAGACATGGTCACCTGTTTGTTTTGTTACCTGCCTACCCTTTCTGCTCCTACCTGTGCAGCACGTGCCAAGGTACCTGATGTCCTCCCTGTTGGATGAAACCATTGAAGCGGTAGCAACTGGTCTGAGCACGGCTGTATACCAGCGTCCACTGACACCTCGGACCCCCGCCCGACGGAAAAGGAAGACAGGTAGGGGCAGGCACTGTGTCCCCGCCGGGGCTCTGCCCTGAAATCCCTACCTGTGGTCATCTCTGCTTCTTCCTGGAAACCTAATTTTCTCAGCCAGAACTATAGTTGTCCTCCATATTCATGAGATCACATCTGCGGCTTCATACAACCACAGATTGAGAATATTGGGGGAAAACTGGATCAGTGCATAAACTTTTCCTGTCACTGGTTTTTAAACCTCACAGTAACAGCATTCACACAGCCTCTGCGCTGTGTTCTGTGTTGGAAGCACACAGAGGGTGTATGTAGAATATACAAGGGTACCATTTCATACAAGGGCCTGGAAGAGTTGGGTCTTGGTATTCTGAGGGTGTCCTGGAGCCCCCACCCCACAGCAGGGTGACTGACCTGGCAGAGAGGCTGGTAGCCTGATGCCATCGTTGTTGCTTTCCGTAGTGTAGTGCTGATGTCACAGTGTCTGAAGGTGTGTGGTACCCTTGGAGTCCGTGTAGTCACCTGTGTCTGCTTGGTGTCTCTGTTGCTGAGGAAGAGTCCAGCGTACAAATGTGCCAGTCTGTGGACCTTGTGCCTGCTGGTGGGCGTCAGGGTTGTTTCCAGTTGGAGCTCCGCAGTAAAGCTGCCGTGAGCGACCGGTGGTGAGGAGTGGGGAGGTTGAGTGCCAGGTGAAAGTACACTTAACCTGAGAATAGGGAACCAGGTATCCTCCAGGTCCTGGTGCCATTTCCTGTGGGCATTAGCAACGTGTGAATGGCCTGGTCACTCCAGGCTCTTGTCAACCCTTGGGTGGTTGGGATTTTGTTTCTGCTATACCTGTGAACATGGGGGCCAAGTAGTCTTCTTACTGTGCTCTGCGGTTGCCCTGAAGCCCAGAGGCTGTGGTTTATTTCTCCCTTTAAAAAAAACCCATGCCGGACTAGGTGTGCAACTCTAATCCCAGCAATCGAAGAAAGGCTGACTCAGGAGGATCACCAAGAGAGTTCCAGGCTAAGCTGGACTATAGAGTGAGAACTTGCCTCAAACTTAATTAATTATTTTTTTAAAAATACTCTTGCCAGGCATCATGGCACACACCTGAAGTCCCAGATAATTTGGAAGCTGAGGCAAAAAGATCATAAGTTTGAAGCCAGCCTGGGCAACTTAGAACCTGTTCCAAAGTTTTAAAAAGGACGTGGTGTACCCCAGTACACACACAAAACTAGGATTTGGGATATAGCTCAGTTGTAGAGTACTTACCTGTGTCAAGCATGTACAATGCCCTGGGTTTAGTCCCTACCACTGAATAAAAAATAAATATAAACACATAAATACAAATACATGCTGTATATGTGTGTCTGTCGTTTAGCTATCTTGTCTGTCTACCTTGAATGGAGGCTTAAGCCTATAATTCCAGCTACAAAGACCAAATACTGTCCTAGCGCCCTCCCAGGCTTGATGTCTGGGTGGCCATGCAGGGCAAGCAGCCCAGCACACAGCAAAATGCATCCTCTTTTAGGGAGGCGGAAGAAAGTGCCAGGAAGAAAGAAAACCCGGGCCAGGTTGTCTGTGAAAAGTAAGAGCACAGGTGCAAGATCCAAGAAACGCCAGCATCGAGTGAAGAAGAGGAAAGGAAAAATGCTGAAGGTAGAGCCATGGTGGGGGTCACTAGGCTTCACCAGCTCCGGGTGGGAGGTAGTGGGCAGGTCTCCAGGCCCTCTGGAGTAGGTGTGCCCTTGGTGTCAGGCCAGGCACCACCCTGTGGTAGTGAGTGGCGGCTCCGGGTGGTGGGTGGATAGTGTCCTGGGGGGACTGGGCAAGCATCCTCCGGGCAGCAGGGAGCCACGCCCGAGCAGTCTGGGCTCCTGGACAAGGCAGTGGGCACCATGACTGCTGGGACAGATGCCCTTGCTGGCCTTGGGAGACCCTTGTGTGTGTGAGCATCCCTGCCAGGGGCCCTTTTCAAGTCCTCTGTCCTCGTTCAGAGTTTCAGCCATTAGCCATGTGTTCGCTGTGCCTTTATGTGAATTCTTACCCAAGATAATTGTCCATTTCTTAATCCAGATGCATTTCTATAGTGTTCATTTATGTAAAGGTAGGGCTTAGTTTTAATGGAGTTGGAATGTGTGCCTAGTGTTCCCTGAGTGCAGAGTGTTGCTGTTTTGGGCAGGGGCAATGGGGCAGTGCCCGGAACATTCCAGGGTGTTCCTGGCTCCCCCAACTTCCCTGCTGCTTCTGCCTATTTCCGGTTCTGCTCTTTCTCTGGTGGATGGAGTCTGGACCGTGCCTGTGCCACATATAGGGTGGTACATGGGGTTATGGTACCCTGGGAGAGGTCCCCACTGGAGGGCCTGGGATCTGGAGGAAGTAGTTATTTTTACTTCAGCAGCTGGGGAGTAATTTTAGCTGAAATGATAGTTTAGTGTCCACATCCGCTGTCCTAGTCCTTGTTAACATAGATCTGTCAGGCATTGGTTGAATTTTTTGTTTGTTTCTTTATGGGTTTTTACTCAGTGCCCTTCCCTTTGTTTTACTCAATGCCCTTTGTTTCTTTGTGGTAACGTGGTGATTAATGCCGCCCGGGCACCTACAGAGTCTGTAAGGTGTGGATATTGGTGAATTGTCAGTCTTGCTGTGGGCCCTGGTCAGTACATGGTATCTTTGGCCTGTGCTGGGAGCCTTGGACTTGGCCTGGCTGACCTGCTCTCCTTTCCCTTCACTGCTTCTGTCCAGAGGGAAGTCACAGTGCGCTCTCGCATCGCTCGGACACTGGGCCTCCGCAGGCCAGCCCAGGGTAGCTGCATGCCATCTATGTGCCGGCCAGCAGACCCCTCGCTGGGAGTGATGCGGGCAGATATTGGAGCAGCTACTCTTTCACTGTTCGGGGACCCCTACGAGCTGGACCCCTTTGACAGGTGACTGCATGGGTTGCGCCTGCCAGCTCCTGTCATCCCTGTGGGCTGTGGGCATGGGTCAGCCTTAGATCTTGAGTTTGTAAGATGAGGGTAGTGCTCCCTGCCCCAAGTCCTTCTCAGATTCACATAGGCTACGCACAGAGCTTAGAAGTCACCATCTCCTTGGTGTGTATCTCCTCCAGCACTGAAGAGCTGTCTGCAGATCCCCCTTCTCCTCTGAGTGCCAAGAGGAGGGCTCTGTCCCGCTCGGCCCTGCAATCTCACCAGCCCGTGGCCAGGCCCATCTCTGTGGGGCTTTCAAGGTACATGGCGGGCAGCTTGGGGGACTCTTGCTGGGCCGTTCTCTGTGGCTTTAAAGACTGGGTGTGGTCTCAGGGAGCACAGCTGGCCTCACTGCCAGAGTCCCCACTTGGCCAGATTCTTAGGTGTGATTCCTTTCAAAGGACAGCAGAGTGGTGGGGGTGCTCACTTCTGACTTCTGTTAGCAGTGGGGGAGCGTCCAAGTGACTTTGCCCAGCATCTGATGTTGGCACTGCTGGGTGGGGACCCCTCCCAGGGGAACACTGGCCAGGGCTGGGGCTGATAGTGGCAGGCGGCAGTGGCAGTGGGTCTGTGCCCGCAGGAGGCAGCTCCCCACTGCAGTTCCAGAGCCAGCCATGGAGGCGGCCCCTGTCCCTGATCTGCTGGGCAGCATCCTGTCGAGTCAGAGCCTCCTGATGATGAGCAGTGCTGACATCGTCATCCACCGAGACGGTTCCCTGAGCGCCAAGCAGGCAGGTGAGAGCCTGTAAGCTTGCACTGTGTTGGTGGCTGTGCTCTGAATATGCTGATAGTGCAAGGTTCCCCAGGCACAGGACAAAGAGATGCAGGTGTGATTTTCTCTGCGGTCCCAGCACACCTGAGCTGGGTTAGATTGGGCCAGCATTTTGAGGGCAGCTCACAGACCCTCCTTCTGAGCTCATAGCCAGCATGGTCACAGGTGGGGCACATTCCAGCCCACAGATAGTGGCCTACAGAGCAGAAGAGAAGAACTCGTCCAGGAGGATGTCTGGGGGCCCTTGGGGAGTGACGTGGCAGTAGGAGCCACGTCATAGGCAGATGGGACGGAGCAAATGGGTGGTTAAGCCTGCTGAGAACTATCATGGATCACACAGCTACTAAAGTGGGAATGGCTGCTGTCTGACCTCTCTTTTTCAGCTCCAGTCTCTCTTAAGAGAAAGCCAGGGCATCTGTCCAGAAGGGAAGAAGCATCCAGGCTTGGAAGTGGCCTGCAGCCTAGAGCGCCAGCCTCTGGGAGCCCAGCTAGGAGACTCGGGGAAAACCGGCTGCAGGGCTCTGGGCTGAGCTGCAGGAGTGGGCTGACCCTGCCTAGTGTCTCTGCCCTCACAGACCCCCCTGTGAAGCAGGACTTGCCACCAGTGCCTGGGTCTCAGCAGAGCCTGTCAGGTGGCAGCGGGCCTGGCTCACAGCGAAGCAGCACACTGGGGTGTAATGGCATCAGCAGGCCGAGTGTGCCTCCTGGGTCTGCCTCAGCCAAGAGTTGCATTGGCCACTCTAACTCTCCACCTAAGAGGATAGCCCTAGGACAGGCCCTCCTCTCTCCTAGGAGAACTGACATCTCAGAGCTGCCCAGGATACCAAAGCTCCGCAGGGATGGTGGTGGCAGCAGACAGGACACAGCTCCGGCCCATGGGCAGAATGTTGAGATCCCTAGCACCTGCATCAGCCGCCTGACAGGCAGGGAGGGGCCTGGGCAGCCTGGACGAGGCCGGGCAGAGGGCAAGCCCAGCAGCAGGGGTCCCCAGGAGCCCAGCTCTAACACAGGAGGCTCCCAGCCCCCTACCCCCAGCTCTCACAGCAACTTGGCTCCTATGGGGTCCTCAAGAGGGAAGGGCATTGGGTCAACCTTTGAGAGCTTCCGGATCAATATCCCAGGGAACACAGCACAGTGCAGCCGACTGTCCAGCCCAGGCTTCTGTAACACCTTCCGGCCTGTGGACAGCAAGGTGCAGAGGAAGGAGAGCCCTTCACCTCTCTTCTCCATCAAGAAGACCAAGCAGCTCAAGAGTGAGATCTATGATCCCTTTGACCCCACGGGCTCCGACTCCAGCCCCCCTAGCAGCAGCCCTGAGCATCTTGGCCCCAGCCTGCTGCCTTCTGAGATTACGAGAACCATCTCCATTCACAGCCCCAAGGCCCCTGCGTTTCAGGCGGTGCGCTGTGTTACCTCTTACACAGTGGAAGGCATCTTCAGGAAGGAGCCCGAGTCACCTGGGGAGACTGCATCCCACATGTGCAAGCTCCCGGGTGAGGGGGCTGCCAAGGGCACCTCTGACATAGAGCAAGGGGAGCTGGGGGAGGAGGGCCACACAGAGAGCCAGGGCCTGGGTCCCCGAGGGCAGAGGACATCTCTACGGGACCCCTGGGACGATGAGGATGAGGCATCTCACAGCACTTTCTTCAGTTCTGAGGAGCGGACCGTGACCTGTGTGTCTATCATGGAGCCAGACACTCCACCTAGCCTGGGTGCTCCACAGGCCACGACCCACAGGATTGTGGAGCTGCGGCCCCCATCCCGCTCCCGCTCCACCTCCAGCTCACGAGGCAGAAAGAAAGCCAAGAAGAAAAAGGCCAAGGAACATCGGAGGTCGCGCTCCCGGACTCGCTCCGGCTCCAGGGACAGGGCCTCACGCTCTGTGTCCCCAGCAGTGGATGAGCATGCCAGGAGGCACCGGGTTAAAGCCAAGGGCCGGAGATCTTCCAGTGACAGAGCCAGCAGTCAGGAGAGAGCAAAGCGGAGGAAGACCAAGGACCGGGGTAAGGACCGGAGACGGAGCTCTTGGGGCCGGGACCGGAGGAAGTCCAGGTCACGCTCTGGCAGTCCAGGCAGCTCCTCCTGTGAGCGCCATGAGACCAGGAGGAGGAAGAGGCACCAGTCAGGGTCCCGGCCTCGGGGGCGGGACTGCTCCCCCCACAGCAGCTTGGAGAGGGTCTGGCGGCACAAGCACCCTCGGGAGAGGAGCCGTGAGTGGCCGGACAGGAAGGAGAACATGGCCCAACCCCGAGAGAAGAGGAGGAGGCGGTCCCGCTCACCTAGCTCTGAGCAGAGGGAATGGGAGGCCCAGAGGCCGAGTGCCCATGAGATGCGGCCCCACTCACCAGCGAAGAAGGGGCCTCTGAAGGAGGCCTCCCCCCTGCCCGCTTCCCAGGAGGAGCCAAAGCCAGAGGGAGACCAGCCAGGAGAGCAGCCAGCCTTGCCAGAGGTGTGCGTCACACCCAAGGGGACCCCAGCCGAGCAGGCCATCCCTTCCCCCAGCCCTGTGCCTGTCCCAGCCCCTGAGGTGCCAACCCAGTGTGCACCCGAGGACCTGGACTACGGTGACTCTGTCGAGGCGGGGCACCTCTTCGAGGACTTTTCAAGTGAAGCCATCTTCATGCAGCTGGACGACATGAGCTCACCCCCTTCCCCGGAGAGTACAGACTCCTCCCCAGAGCGGGCCTCCCCACCTAACCTTGCATTAGCTCAGACCGGCCCACTGTGCAATGCCACCCTGGCCAGCCTCCCAAGGGAGGTGTCCGTGATCCATGCTGAAGACATTTCTCGACCCCTACCCCAGGCAGAGGATCTTCCAGGGCAACACCCGCCCGGGCAGGACATGGCAGAGACAGCTGCCACAGCTCCTGCCCCCCTGGGTGTGCTGCCCATGGGCTTGGATGGCCCCTTGGTGAACAGGAGGGCTCCTGAGACAGCCAGGCCTGAGGAGGCAGGGGCACAGGTACCCCTGCTACGGTCCCGAGCCCTGGTGAAAAGGGTCACCTGGAACCTTCAGGAGGCTGAGGGCAGCACCTTGGCCCTGGACAGGGCCCCAAGTGAGTACCTGCGTCGGGGGAATGATGGCTCTCGGGGTCCCTGTGGGCGGGGCCAGGAAGCAGCTTCCCAAACTCCCACTTCTCTGGCTCTACCCGGAGTCTAGCTCCTGGCCTGAGACCCCTGGACTGGGTTGCTACCCTGGGGTTTTCCAGCTAGGAAGCAGCATTCTGGCCAGAACAGCACAGGGCACTGACCTCCCTGTGTCGGACCCTCAGGGACACCACTTCACAGGCCACAGAGGCCCTGGGAAGGAGCCTGGGACACAGAGGACGGGACCCCCATGGGGGCCAAGCATGCACTGTTCCCTGAGCCACCCCCTTCCGGCCAGGCATTCCTGGAGCCCAGGTTCCCCGGCATGGACCCCTCTCAGGTGGGTGCTGGGCTGGAGTCACCTCTCGGGGCACCATGGCCCTGGGACCCAGCCCTGTGGGCTCTGGGAGGGGGCTACCATGGGGCTGTGCACTCACAGGGTTGTCCTCCCCAGGTGTACAGCCCAAGCATGCCTCCTCCCCCAGCCCAGCCCCCTGGCATCCCACCTTACGCCTTGGTCAGCCAGCCCTCGGTCCAGTTCCTCCTGCAGGGCAGCCTGCCCTTGGTGGGCTATGGGCCTGCACAGAGCCTGGCCCCGGTGCCCACCATGCTGGCTACAGCTTCAGAACCAGCCAGCCAGGCCACCCCCACCAATAACTCAGAGGAGAGAATCAACACTCCTAGGCCGGCTGGAGAGAAGACCAAGAAGGAGGAGGTGAGTGTGCCATGTCTCCCTTTGAAGTCTGAGGGTTTTTTTTTCCTCTGGCGCTGGGGAACAGACCATTGTCACGCCCCAGCCCAGAGCCCACCTTCCTTGGATAAGCGCAGTGCTAGAAAGTGCCGGTGTTGCCTTTGGTGCTCCTGGGCTGGAGGACAGCCAGGGCCCTGGGCCTCAAGCACACGTGGGCCCTCGCTCCTAGTACATGAAGAAGCTGCACATGCAGGAGCGGGCAGTGGAGGAGGTGAAGCTGGCTATCAAGCCCTTCTACCAGAAGCGGGAAGTGACCAAGGAGGAGTACAAGGACATCCTGCGCAAAGCCGTACAGAAGGTGGGCTGCAGGCGGGAGGGCGGGAGGGCGGGAGGGCAGGCGGGCTAGCTGGCTGGCTGGCAGGGATGCACGTGTACTTGTTGTGGACCTGAGGTTGGGAGTAGCATGTCTGCATGGTATGGCCAGCAGTCCTGTGTAGGGTAGGTCGCTCCAATGCCTGTGGCTGCAGCTTTCAAGGGGTTTGTGAGTGTAGCAGGGGTCCAACTAGTGGCAGTGGTCCCATCTTCCTGTGTCTATGAAAAGACTGAGGTAATGGAGATGTGTTTAGGATTGCCTGGCCCACACCCAGCCTACAGGTAGGAAAGCAGGCCCAAGAGGAGATGGGCTATGGGGCAGGTCTCAGGCTTCCTCCTGACTGGGACACACGTAGGGACCTTCAGGGGGCTATGTGCTGGCAGAGTAGGGGCAGGGGGTGTGACCGGACATCAGGGTGTCCATCTTTCTCCAGATCTGTCACAGCAAGAGTGGTGAGATCAATCCTGTGAAAGTGGCCAACCTGGTGAAGGCCTACGTGGACAAGTACAGGCACATGCGCCGACACCGGAAGGCAGAGGCCACCGAGGAGCTGCCCGTCCCAGGGCCAGAGGCCTGAGACATTTTCGTCTTGCCTCCCCATCTGAGGCACAGAACTGGGGCACAAGCCTTCTGCCTGTGGGGCTCCTGTGAAAGCATCTGCACCAGTCTTGCTCAGTTTAAAACTGGACTTTTTTATATGTATATTATAGATACATTGTTTCCATTGTGTTCTAATTTATCAAAAATGGTTTATCTTTAGAAACCTCTGGACTCAATACTTGAAGGTGAAGCCTTTGCAGGCCAGGAGCCTCCCACCTGGCTGGTGAGCAGGGCTTGGACCCATCCCTCTGGCCTGCACCCATCCTGCATGGTGGGCTTAGTGGTACCCTCATTTCTGCTTCCCATTGACACTTGGTGGTACTCAGCCAGCAGCTGCTCAGGAGAAAGGGTTCAGAGCTTGGGGCCGGGACACTCAGGGGGCACAGGACACATGATGTTGCCCACCCTCCCCAGGGCACTTGTGCCAGTGAGTCGCCTCCTATCTCTAAGGTGTGTGGTTTAGTTCTCCATCAGGAGGATAGAGGGGTGGGTGTGCATGGGGGCCTGCAGTGTGCCTTGTGGGGTCACCCTCTTCCCTGATAGGGCCCCAGCAGGTCCTGTAGGGAGGTAAGGAGCAGTCCAGGACCAGCCACACCCAGTCCACACTGCCTGCCACACATTGGCTTGGACCCCCAAGACACCAGAGTCATGGCAGCACTGGCTCTTGGCTCTTTATTGGGGGTGGAGGTTCCAGTCTAGGCCCGCTGCTCCAGCTCCATGAGGAAGTGCTCGATGTCATCATAGAGACTGCTTGTGCTCGACAGGCACAGGCCCAGGCTGCTGCTGTCCAGGGAGGATGTGCCCTCACGCTGCACAACCTCCAGGTGCGCCCGGCATAGCCTCGGCTCCACCTGCAGGGAGGCTATCTGTCAGGGGACCCTGGGTCACAAAGGCTGCACACCCGGGGCCACCTGCCTCACCTTCACCAGGACCAGGCTCTTCTCCTTGGGCCTCCCAGCTGACAGGTCCTGCCCAAAGCCCAGGTAGATGGTGTAATGGGGTGAGCCTTGGCGCTGCCGGGCCCGGAACTCTCCCAGCTCTGCGGGAGGGGCTAGGTGAGCAGGGTGGTTAGTGTCCTGGGACCCTCCAGGCAGACCTCTCAACAGTCCTCACTGACCTCGGAAGAAGGCGCTGAAGTCGAAGATGGGGGTGTTGGAGTTGCGCTCCAGCAGCCGGGCTGGGGTGGAGGGCCTGGCAGAACCCTGTGGGCTGCCCACCTCCCAGTATACCTTGCACTTGCCCATGCGCCGGGCCCACAGTACCACCCCACCCAGCTCCAGCTGCAGCCCAGGGGCTACGTGCTGCAGCAACTCTTCTGTATAGCGCAGCTGTTTCTGGTCTGGCAGCTCAGCAGGGCTGGGGAAGACCACCTGCTGGGGCTGCAGGGCCTGGCTGCCTGCCCCTGGGGGGTTGTACAGGAACACACAGCTGGGGTGCCCCACCACAGCCTGCAACACCGTGCGGCCCTTGTACATGATGGTCACGTCTAGTGGCCCTGGGCTGGGCTCTGTTGCCAGGGCCAAGGGCTGAGGCCGAGGGCAGGGCACCGGCTCCACTGCCCATGCTGCAGACGGCTCTTCAGGAGGCTCCACTGGTCCTGCGTTGGTGGGAGGGACACTCAGGTTACTGCCCTGGGGCCCGTGTGGATCCTGATGGACTGTTACCTTGTGGTGCCCCAGCCCCCCACAGGGCACAGCCCCTCACCAGGAGCCTGTGGTGGGGCAACTGGGTTAATGGCCACCAGCGAAGCTTCCTGCAGGGGGTCCGCCAGGAGACTCTGCTGCAGAACCTGGAGCAGGAGGTCCCTTCCGCCACCACCCTGGGCCGGTAGAAGGCTTGGAGCTGTGGGCTCAACATCTCTTGGCAGAAACAGCCCCAAGTGCCCACCCTGAAGCAGGAAGACGGTCAGTGTGAGCAGCCCCCAACCGTGCCACCCAGGGAGAGCAAGAGACTACCTGTGTGGGCAGGGCACCTCTGAAGACCTCTTCCTCCCCCTGGTTCATGGCTGGGCCTTCTGAGGGAGAGAGGGGGTGGCGTGAGGACCTGAGGCTGGCCCTAGACCAACATCTGACCTTGTCTGTCCCGCTCCCCAGTCACCTGACACCTGAGCAGCCCAGGGGTCCAGCAGCCTTCCAGACCAGTCCCAGACCCTAAATGGAGATGGCATAGCTTTGGGCCCTAGCACTCCTCCTCAGGGGTCTCTAGTGCCAGGGTTCCCTTGGAGCTCGCTGACCCACAGCCCTCCCCCCTACGCCCCTCCACGGGCGTCCCTCACCTCTGCACCCCCGCTCCAGGCTGACTGCATACACCTTGTGCGGGTCAGTGGGGTCCCCGGAGTTGTCCTGCAGCATCACGAAGCGCTGTGTGCTGTGCAGCGCACAGCGGAAGTTGGTTTTCCAGCCGGCTCGTTCTGCAGCCTCAGCCTCGCAGGGCGGTGGGCCACCCCCGCTGTTGCTGGGCGGCCACCTGCCTCGGGCCACCGCCCAGGCCTGGGTAAAGGAGAGAAAAGGGGGTTGGGGGTGGGGCCACCGGGGCGGGCCTGCGGGGGCGGGGCTGGTTCCCACCTTGAAGATGCGTGCGTCGGCCTCACCCAGGTCCTTGCGAGCGAAGTGCTTCCATGGCACGCGGAAGACAGTGCGGGCCTCGTCCAGCCACCGCAGCCCCTCGTAGCGGCCGCTGCTGACCTCGCCCAGAAGCCACTCTCCGAACCGCACGCGCTGCGCTGCCCTGCAGGCGGGGTGGCCACGCTGGTCAGCCCAGCGCGGCCCTGCGCAGGGCTGGCCGGGGCGGGCGCGGGTCTCACCTCTCCGAGGCCCTGGCCATGGTGCCTGCTGCGAGGGCGGGTCAGGAGCGGTGAGGGGCTGTGGCCCTTACGACCGGGTAGGGCAGGGTTCTGTGTCACTTCAGTGTCAGTGGTGGCCACGGGTATCGTGGCCAGGTGTGCAAGGTCACACACGTTCTGTGTCACTTCAGTGTCAGTCGTGACCACGTGTGCAAGGTCACAGAGGCTTGGAGCCACCTCAGCGTGGATACGGGGGCCGAGGTGGCCGTGGATGTGACTTCAGATGCGGGGGGCGTGCGCACGTGAAGCCACAGGTGTTGGCCCAGCGCCCAGGCCTGCGCAGCGGAGACAGGCGGGACCCTGGAGGCGACGCAGGGAGGCGGCGTGGAGGGGCGGGCGCAGGCCGGGAAAGCGAAACCGCGCTCCGCCTGGAAAGGGAAACCTAACGCGTGCGCGGCCTGGCCGTGCCCGCCCGCAGGCCCCGCGCCGGCTCCGCAGCTGGTCCGCTCAGCCCCCCGCCCGGCCACCCAGCCCTGGCTCCAGCGTCCCGCCCCGCCCCCTCCCCTGACCCTCCGCCCTCGGGCTCCGCGGCCCTGCGCTGCCCTCTCCCGCTGCTGCCCGTGGAGCGGACAAGGGCTCCTCCGAGGGGCCCAGCTCCTCTCCTCCCCTCCGCTTGTGGGTCAGGGGCCGCGCGTACCTGGGTGCCGGAGCCGCCGGGACGGGATGTTTCATCTCCCGGGAGGAAAGCGGCAGCGCCTTTATAGAGTCCGGAGGGCGGGGGTGGGCCGGGGGCGGGGCCGGGGGCGGGGCCGGGGCTGCAGGTGTGTAGCCTTGCCCCAACTCCGAGGCCGTTCTGGGGCGCGGTGCCCCCTACGCCGATGCCAGTGGGAGCTGGCCCGGTGCGGTTGCAGTGGGATACGTCAGGATCCCCGGAAAGGAGAGGGAAACCCGGATCCCAAACCAAGCCAGGCCCTTTTTGGGGTGAAGACAGTGTCTCCTTCAAGGGTGCGTGGGAGGTGGCGGTTAGCAGCCGTGCTGACTGGGTTACGCCCAGGGTGGCGCAGATGAGCCTCCAGCGCCCGAAACGAAACCTTTGGGAGGAGCTGTGGGCCGCCCTCCGGGTGACACCTGCTAGAAACTCGGGGGCGTAGGGCACAGCCCCGGCCTCTATGGCCGAAAGCAATGGGGACGCGACCCTCCCAGTGCCCACGGCGAACCCGAGATGCAGTGGCTCCAGGGTCAGAATGGCCACTTTATTCAGCGGGAAAGGGACAGCAGGGGAGGGGACAGCGCGGCAGGCGGTGCTAGATGTAGGTAGAGTCGCCCGGCCCGTTACTGGGGCCCCTGTCCGGGCCCATGTCTTCTTCACCGCTGCCCTCAGAGTCGCCATCACCACCCTCACCGGCCTCAGGTGTGTTGAGGACCACAACGTCGGCCTCTGCTCCAATGTCCTCCCCGAACCACACGGCCTTGTAACCACCCTCAGGCCGCCGCTCCTTGGTCAAGATGGACCTCACAGCTGAGGGGCTGTCCCCAGCAGCACTGGGGGCTACAGGGGACTCTGGGCCAGGGGGCTCTGGGGCTTGGGCCTTGGGAGTGGGTGGCTCGGGGCTGAGGGGCTCAGGATCCAGGGGTGCAGACAGTGTCTCCGCAGGTGTGAGGCCCGGCTTGGGGCCAGGGGCAGATGCTTTGGTGGCCTCCTGGTCACCCAGGAAGGCCTGGTTGTCAAAGCTGTGGGGCTGGAGATCCTGGGGGCCAGAAAGGGCATCAGGGGGCGCACCTGGGCTCCAGCTCCTCTGGTGCCGTGCAGGCCTCCCCTCCTCTGTCGTCGTCCACCTCCCTCTGGGTCCCTCTCCCCGTCACTGTCCCATCCAGTCGCTCTCTCCACCCCCAGCTCTCATGTCTCCTCCTTGCCCCATCCCTGCCCCATCTGTCCTTCTGCACCTCTGAGACCCTCACCCCTGCCCCCCTGCCCCCTGCCCCCTGCCCCAGGCTCACCGCAGCTTTCCTGGGGCGGCAGCAAAGCTGATGCCCATAGTGCTTAAAGAGGAGCACAGCCAGGCCAATGAGGGCCAGCAGCAGCAGTGCACCCAGCACCCCTCCCAGGACTGCCATGTCCACCGTAGAGAAGCGCGGGTCCCCTGGGCCGCTGCCTGGCTTACTCTCTTCCGTAGTGGGGCCATTGCTTGTTGTCCCTGCAGAGGCCCCAGGGCCACTTAATGTTGGAGGAACACAGTTCTCCCCTCACCAGCCTGTGCTGGCCTGAGGACCCCAAAAACAAGCCAGGCCAGGACTGTGCCCCAGACCTGAGGTTCCAGGGAGCGAGTGCTTTGTCCTGCCAAGAGAGCCCGTGGGGACAGCAGGGTCCAGGAGGCCCAGTTACTGCAGAAGGGTAGTGCAGGAGTACGGCTGACCTTAGAGGAAGCGCTCTATGGCCTCCACATCCACTCACTAGCGCCTCACTTAGACCAGATACAGGGCCCCACATCCCTGCCCAGTTTCCTTGCCTCCTTGTGGATAGTGGGTGTTGCCCCTGGGCTTTGTGAATGTGTCCCAGTAAGCATGCTCAGTGGCCTCCATGCCAGGGACCTGGCCTGTTTACCTCGAACCCAAGGCTCCCCTGGGGACCTGGTTTGGTTTCCATCCTGGAGTCCAGGAAGGTGCTGGCCCATGGCTCCCTTTACACATACTTGTGTGGCCTCCCTGTGTGCTGAGTACCCCAGGTCCTGTAACTTGTACCATCTTTTCTGAAAGTGTCTCACTGTGTTGTGCAGGCTGCCTCAAGTTCATGGGCTCAAATGATCCTCCTGCCTCAGCCTCCAGAGTAGCTGAGACAACAGGAAGCACATTGTACCTGCCCATGCAGTCTTTTTTCATTGTTTCTTTGTTTTTGTGTTTTAAGACAGGGTCTCACTTTGTAGTGCAGGATGGCCTTGAACTCAAGGAACCCTGGAACTCCTGGCAATCCTCCTGCCTCACCCTCCTGAGTGCTTGGATTAGATTATTGGCATGTGCCACCATGCCCCACTCAGTCTTCATTTCTAACCTGTGTCTCTCCTAATCCTTATAGGAGTACTTTGCATTTTAAAGCCTAAATTACAAACAGCCCTGGGAATTATGGGGTTCACTGGATCCCAAATCTGGCTGCTGCCCCTACATCTCCTTGAGGCTCTGGACCCAGCTGTCCCACAAGTCAGATCCCTCCTTGTGTTCCTGGTGTGGTCAAATTGGGCCAGCCTGTCCCAGAGTGTCCCCAGGACCACCCAGGGCCTTGAGTCAGGAAGGCCAAGAGGAGCAGGGACTACCTGAGGCTGGGGAGCTCCTGCTGGGCCAAGGTGGTGTCGGCTGAGAGGTCCCTGGCTTCGGGGTCTGAGGTGAGACCCCACCAGGAGTGGCTGGCCAGGGGGAGGAGCTGGCTGCCACCCTAGGGGTCGTCGGCTGAGAGGTCCCCGGCTTCGGGGTCTGACCTGAGACCCCACCGGGAGTGGCTGGCCAGGGGGAGGAGCTGGCTGCCACCCTGGGGGTCGTTGGCTGAGAGGTCCCCGGCTTCGGGGTCTGAGCTGAGACCCCACCGGAAGTGGCCGGCCTGGTGGTGGTGCTGGCTCCCACACCAGGGAGCCTCCCAGGCGTGGTGGGGGCAGCCGGCCTTGGCGTTGTGCCTGAGGATGGGTGAGGGCCAGTAGCCCCCCCAGGTCTGGTCGAAGAGGGTTCTTGAGAGGTCCCAGAGGGGCTGGGGACTTCCGTAGCAGTGCTGGTCGAGGGCCTGGTTGTGCCTCCAGCCTCTGGGGACGGGGGGACCTCTGGGGGTCCTGGGGGATGAGGGACAGCACTTGGGCTTGCCTTCCCCCAATTTCCCTAGTGGAGGAGCCACCACACTGGGGGACCCCAAGGCTCACCTGTGGTGGGGGGTGCCTGCTCTGAAACCCAAATCTCAACAGCGGCGGTCGCTGTGTTCCCAGTCACGGTGTTTGTGGCTTCCACCTGGGGAAGGGAGGGGGCTTGACCTTGCTGAGACTCTCTGCACACCACTTCCTCAGACATGCCCCCCACCTCACCTCTGCATAGAAGACTCCCTCACGCTCCAGCGCCGTGGCAGTCAGCACAGTCTCCCCATCCATCCGGAACTCAGAGCAGTTGGTGATTCGGTACGTGATGGCTGAGTTGAAGCCCTGGATGTGGCCATAGTAGTCCTGGGCCTCACCCACCCCTTCCATCCCAAGCCGCCCGAACAAACAGGAAAACAATCCAACCCAGGGACCCACCCAGGCCTCAGGGTTCCTGCGGGGGCAGGGGGGTGCATACCGGGAAGCTAGGGTCCTGAGCCTGGATCCTCAGAGGCTGGGACGGGGAGGATGCATCTCTGACAGCCACCCCAGCCCCAGAGCCGGGGGCCACGAAGCCGCGGTACAGGTTCTGGGGAAATTGGGGTGGGCTCCCGGGGGTAGAGCGGGCCTCCACAGTGACCTGGGTCACTGAGTATCGGGCCTGGTCAGCCTGGTCCCCCTGGGGAGACAGGGAGGGAGCAGTGACCTTCAGGGCCTTGAAGGTGGGGCTGAGACTCCCATTGGCCACTCCATGCTGCACCCACCCTGATCAGCAAAGTGAAGGTCGTGGGGGCGGGGACAATCTTGACCATGGTGAGATTGCCAGAGTTTGCGTCAATGGCAAAAGTGTTGTCCACGTTCCCTGGAGGGGGTGAAGCAGTCAGGGCTGGTCCCTGCAGCCAACGTCTGGGGTCCCAGCTGGGCTGGGGCTGGGGTTGGTGGTGTGGGTTGCTAGGCCAGGCCTTCACTCACCACCCACAATGCTGTAGATGATGCGTGCGTTGATGCCCCGGTCCCCATCCACAGCGTAGATTGGCCCAGGACGCAGGATGAGGGGAGATGGCTGTGGGGACAGGGACCCTTGTGGGGCTGGTACAGAGGGGCCCGTGCTCTAGAGGGGCGAGCACTAGGAAGGGTCAGGGTCCCCGCAGCCCGATGGCTGCCTGTTGGCACAGACTCCAGGGCTCCTGCCAGCCCCACCACTGGCCCCTATGGTGACCATAAGCGGGGTCGAGGGGCAGCTGCCCTGGGTGGCACCAGCCTGGGCCTGCAGTGCCTGCACCCTGGCCGGCCTTGCCGAGCCTCAGGCTTCCCTGGGGTTTCCTTGTGTCCGCCCAACACCCGAGGCTGGAGGCCGCATTCACCAAGCAGGTGTGTGCACATCAGCTTCAAGAGCAGCAGAAACTGCTCCGGCCCCCAGTCCCCACCTGTGCCTCCTGACACTCACTCTGGACTCAGCTGATCAGGGCGGCCCCGGCCCAGTGCCCTATGGGGACAGCCCGCCCCCAGGCCTCCATTACCAGCCTGTGCCCCGTGGGGATAGCCCCGTGGTACTGGGCCTCGATGCAGACATAGCCATCTGAGTAGGAGCAGGGTAGGAACCAGGGGGCCCTCAAGTCAGCGGGCAGCACGTGCAGGACCAGGGTGGCCGTGGCCGTGTGGCTGGGCTCCGCGTTCTCCTCCTGAGTGTCCTGCAAGAGCAGCCCCTGCCTCGTCAGGCTGGGAGCAGCTTGGATGGGGCCCTGGCAGGGCCCGAGTACAGGGCACATGAGGCCTTACCCGGACCAGCAGCCGGAAAGTCATGTTCTGCCACTGGTAGAAGTCCAGGGACCGGTCCAGCCGCAGGGCAGGGCGGTTCACCCCCTCCAGGGAGAAGAAACTGCTGGCATTCTAGAGGGAGGCACAGCCTGAGACTCTGGCAGGCAGGGATGGGGCTGTCAAGGGGTCTGTGTTGACAGGCAGGGCAACACCAACCAGGGTCACTTCCTGGAGCGTGTAGAACAAGACATCCTCTTCGTCCTTGTCAGTGGCCTTCAGCTCACTCTCGGGGATGACTATAGAGTTCACTTTGGTATCCTGGACAGGGAGGGGCTCCGTTGGGCAGGGTGGGCTCCTGGCCTCCAGGGATGGGGGTGGAGCCACACCCACGCGCATGGGCCCAGATGGCACCAGCTCTGACTGCTCGCCTCACCTCCGCCACGTCCTGGTTCTTGACCTCAAAGGGGAACTCTGGGGCATTGTCGTTGACATCCAGCACGGACACCAGCACCAACAGCTGCGTCACCTGGGGACCACAGCCTGTCAGCCTCCCCCACCCCTCCAGGCTGTGCAGCTGTGCTCCTGGCCGGCCCTCCTCCCTTCCTTCCTCCGTGCACTGCAGTCTTTCACGCCTTCCCAGATCCACCCAGCCGCTGCTTCTAGGTGGGGGCCGGCCTGCGACTGCTTCCAGGGCTCAGGTCCTAGCTAGGGCTGACAGTGAACAAAGAGAGAAGGTGCCAGAGCTCTGGGAAGCAAGAGGGGTCTGGAAGAGACCAGTAGGATCTCATGAGAGATGGGGCACACATTTGCTCATCTTCAAGAACAAATCCAGAAGAACAAGAAAAAAAAGACATTGATTTAGAGATACTTTCGGGGAGTGTGAGCCAGGGTGTCAGGGGGATGCCAACTCAAAGCATCGAGGTTGACCCTCCCAGGACCAGAGTAGAACCTGGGGCTTGGTGCAGGCCATGTGCCAGCCACCAAGGCCATGGTTAAGGAGGAGAGGTCCTTATCTGTTAGGGACGCAGACCGAGGCCTTGTGGGTGATGCGCTGCCCAGGGAAAGGGCGGGGATGAGCCTTGGTCTTGGTGGAGCTGGGGCGCATCAGCCGGGACTGACGGCTGCACATTTCCCTAGCGAGAGGCTAAGAGAATGGAGCAGGCTGGGCCTGGGTAGCACAGGGCAGGGTGACCCCAGGGCTCATCAGGGGACTCTTCCATGCAGGACAGGGCATGGGGGAGGAGTGCGTGTCCCAGGCTGTGCCCCATTTGGCTTTGACTGCAAGTGGAGGAGCCGAGAAAGCCCTGGGCTGGGCTGGGCAGGGCTCATCAGGGACAGGGATCAGGTGTAACAGGTGGGCCTGAGGGAAGGTTCCAGGGAGGACGCGGCGCCGGGCTGAGGCCCTGGGGGGACTGGAGGTGAGAAGGTGGGTGCCGGGTCCACCTGTCGTGGGGGATGTGCTGGGTGGGGTGGGGCGGGAGGGACACAATGGAGCCTCCCCAGACACCCACTGAAGCCCCTCAGGGCGCCGGTGTGGGGTTGGGCCTGGGGCTGCTGGCAGATGTCGGGATGGTCCTCAGCTGGGTGTGTGGGTCCAAAGCTCGGGGCAGAGTCTGGGCTGAGGCGGTGTGGGCGTAGTCAGTGGAGACTGACATTTGACAGTGACCAGGGTGAGGTCACTGCAGAGCCCCAGGGGAGCCGTGACCAGGTGTCGGAGGGGACTTACCACTGAGCTGCCCCTCCTGCACTCCAGGTGAGCCTCCAGCATGGTGTTCTCCTGTGGCCACACGGGTCTGTGACCCCCAGTCCCATGGGAAGGTGCCCCCCCGCCCGAGTCCCCATCACCACTGTCACCCTTAAAGCCCCAGCACTCTCTCCCCAAATCCTCTCCATGGGAACCCCGGCCTGCTGCCCTCACCTCGTAATCAGGGGTCATGTTGAGGAATAGCTGGTCCCCCAGGATCCGGAAGGCGGAGGGGGTAGACGAGGGCCCCAGGGTGACATGCTGGCCGTCCGGGATGAAGATGTTCGTCAGAGGCCCAGGGTTTGTGTTCTCCTTGATGTTGATCAAGGTCTTGTTCACGAAGCAGACTGGGAGGCAGAGGGTACAGTTGGTGCCTGCCACCCCCTGCCCCACGCCCACCCCATGTCCTGAGCAGCACCTACCCTGGCCCTGGGCTGCTGCCCCCGGGGGTTGGCCGGGCAGCACCAGGAGCAGCAGCAGGGGGGCCCACAGCAGGGCCCAGGCCCCCATCTTGGCGACTGTCACCTGCCGGAAGGATCTGGCAGTCTGCGGTCCAGGGCTGGGCCTTCCCTGCCTCAGAGACGAACTTCGCCCTGCCAGGTACCGCCCCGCTTTATGGCCCCGCTGACGGCTCCACCAAGGGGGTTCCCGCAGGCCGGCCAGGCCAGGCCAGGCCGCCACCCAAGAGGGGACCTGGCTGCCATTCGCCTGAGCCAGGCTGCATTCGTACGTCCTGGGGAGGACTACTCCACCCCAGCACCAAACACAGGGTGTGAAAGAACGGAGGCTGTTGGGGGCCATGGGCTGGGACTTGGGGACAGGGCTGGGACAGGCTGGGGGTGGCTGTGGAAGGTGAGAGGTCCGGGGCAGAAAGGGATCAGCCCTTGGCCTTGGGCTCCTCTCCTTCCCCACTGGCCCCTGCCGGCTCCTTGCCTCAGCGTCCTCTGGCCAGATCCCCAAGGCCCCCTCTCAGGGTGTGCATCCCAGCGTGCCGCTCAGACCCCTCCTTGCACCATCTGAGGGACAGGCTCTGGTATCCTAGGGGGCCCCTGCCTGTCAGAAAACTCAGGGTGTGAGAGACAGGGCCCAGCGGTGAGGCGGGAGGGCTTTGGGGCACCTGGGCACTCCTCGGGAGTCTGGGGGGCCTTTCAACCTCCCAGCCTCCTCTCCGTCCCCCCAGAGCCTGAGCTGGTGTCAGGAGGGAGGCGGGGCTCTTCCCACCCCCGACCTTTGTGCAGCACTCAGTGCCCTCAGAGCTCGGCCCCCCCAGTGCCAGCATCCCCACAGCTGCCCACATGTTTCCAGCACTGTGCCCTGCGCCCCTCAGCCTGCCCTGTGCAGCAGGACGGCCTCTGGTCCCTGCACTCTGGGGTTCCTGGTGTCCCGGGTGACCCTGCACCCCTCTGTGCACCCAGCCATAGACAGGAGCCTGTTGAGAGAGGATGGGTGCTGGGCAGGGAGCTGGTAGACAGAGATGAGGGTGAGGTGCCTGAGGGCCTGGGGTTCAAGGGCAGCTGCTGAGCTGGGGGACAGCCCCCCATGCCCGCTGAGCAGAGACGCAACTGTGGGCTAGGACCTGGGAACTCCTTCCTTTATTGGCGTCAGGTGCAGCCCGCCCCTGCCCCCGCCCCTGCCCCCTGCCAGTGGCTGGGCTCCTCTTCCTCCTCTTCATCAGGGCGCTGGGTGGTTCCAGCCAGCTCTGAAAATTCGGCCCCGGGCCTGGTCCCAGGAGGCAGCCAGGGAGACGCGGCACGGCCCAGGGGGCGCCCCAGGGGCCTCCTGCAGAGAGAGCACCTTAGGGACTAGGACTGGCACCCAGCCTCTCACCCCCCACCCCCAGGGCTGACCCAGGGCCTCACCAGGCCTGCGGGGTACGTGTGTCCAGCCACAGCAGGCACAAGGGGCCGTCCACAGGCTTGGACCCAGCGGTGCTGTTCTCTGTGTCCTGCTCGCTGCCCCCAAATTAGAGTCAGGCTTGTCCCTGTCCCCTGCCGCATAGCACACACCCACCTGCCCACCCCCTACTGCTCCCCTGGCCACTCACCTGCGCTTGCCCACCAGGCCCTGCAGCAGGCGCTGCAGCCGGGCGCTGTCCCGCAGGCGGCTGAGCTCACTAGTGAATGTCCCATCCGAGTGCCGTGCAGCCCTGGGAAGAGGCGGCACTGGGTCAGGTTGGGAGGGGAGTAGGGGGCTCACCTGGGCCACGGGGCTCACCTGGGCAAGGCAGGGCGTGCAGTGGTGCCCCTGAGCATCAGGAGCAGTAGCAGCAGCAGCAGCAGCGGTGGTGGTGGCGGTGGTGGACAAGGTGCCATAGTGGGGCAGCGCCAGGCACTGGGCCCCCGAATCAGTGCCGTGCTTTATAGGGGCCCTGGCGCCGCACAGTCCGGATGCATCAACCCAGAGGGAAGGTCAGGGCCGCCCCCCCAGCTGTTGCTGCTGCCTCCCGCCCCTCCGCTACATGGGGACCCAGGGCTCTGGGGCGCGGCCACCAGCTGGCACTCAGGCAGGCCCAGGGGACGTGGCGGCGCCAGGAGTGGGGGGGTCGGGAGCAGCTTGGAGACCCACCAGACACTGCGGCCAGGACCAGAGCCTTCCAGACCTGGTAGCCCGGGGAGGTCAGCCCTGCGGTCAGAGCGGGAGAGGGAGAGCGCCTGCAGGACCAGCAAAGTGGGAGTCTTAACACCCAAGCTCATGCGACCAGCCGCTACTGCAGACCAGCCCTCCTGTAAACTTTAGGAGGCTGAGGCAGAGGACTGCCTCAAATTCAAGGCTAGCCTGGACTACATAGTGAGGGCCCTGTCTCAAAAAAATCACTAAAAATAATGGTGAAACATGTTTTAGAGCAAGTTGGTTTGCAGAAAAGTTGAATTGAAAGTAGAGGCAGTCTTTAATCCTCATACTCTCCAGCCAGCGTCCAGTTATATTTTATTTAAAACATTAAAGTACAAAGCCAGGCATGGTAGCTCCCCAGTTGCAGCCTGTGCCAGAGTGTCACTCCTTTTTATGACTTCACACTCTCTGAGTGTAAGGATGTGCAACGTTTTCTTTACCCATTCATTTATTGAACATTTGACTTGTTTTTTTTGAGACATGGTCTGTGTAGTTCAGGATGGCCTTGAACTCGCTATGTAGCCCAGGCTGGCCTCAAACTCATGGCAACCCTCCTGCCTCAGCCTCCTGAGTGCTGAAATTACAGTGGGATTACAGGTTTTGCTTCTATCTTTCGTATATAGTAAATTGTGCTGCTGTGAATGAGATGTCCATGTTTTTGTTTGAACGCTTGTTTTCAGGGCTTTGGGGTATATTCCACACAGTGCAGACTCCTGTCACGAGTGAGTTAATGTGTTATTTTTTTTATTTATTTTTTTTTTTGCACTGCTGGGGATGGCACCAAGTGGCCCCTGTATCGCACCCCAGCCTCAGTGTACATACAGCCTGTAGAGGACCTGCTGGGCTGGTGTCTGCAGGGCCAACAACAAGAATGTGGTTCCCACACCCCCACAGAGCCAGCGCTCACCCGCAGTCCGCCCTGGCCTCAGCCCAAGGGGTGTCACTGTGTCTCTCAGGGGTCTCCCTGCATTTCCCTGGTGACTAATGCAGTTGGGCATTTGTCAAGTGCTTCTTGGTCATTTCTACATCCTTTTTAATAAATTTGTTTGTTTTTGTTTTTTGTCTTTTTGAGACAGGGTCTCGCTATGCAGTTCAGGCTGGCCTTGAGCTCACTTTGTAGCCCAGGCTGGTCTCTAACTCACAATGATCCTCCTGCCTCAGCCTCCCAAGTGCTGGGATTACAGGCGTGCGCCATCACGCCTGGCTCCCATTTCTTTTTTCTTTTCTTTTCTTCTTTTCTGTTCTTCTCTTCTCTTTTTTGTTCTGTTCTTTCTTTTTCTTTTTTTTCTTTTTTTCTTTTTTTTTTTTTTTTTTGGTGCTAGGAGTCCAAATCAAGACCTTGCACTTGCCAGGCAAGTGCTGAGCTGCTGATCTATATCCTCGACCTTCTTTTTTCTCTTGATACTATTTTTTTAAAGACAGGGTCTCACTCTGTTGCCCAGGCTGGCCTCAAACTTGTGGGCTCAGTGATCCTCCTGCCTCAACTTCCTGTGCAGCTGGGACTGCAGGCTGCACCACCATGCCCGGCTCCCTCACAGCATCATCCAAGGCACAGAAGACTTCAGTTTTCATGCAGTTCAGCTTTTTTGTTATTGCTGCTGTTCTTATGCTTTCGCATCACATTTAAGATACCAACGCTGGCCAGGCGTGGTGGCACACACCTGTAATCCCAGCACTCAGGAGGCTGAGGCAGGAGGATCGTTGCGAGTTCAAGACCAGCCTGGGTACAAAGTGAGCTCAAGGCCAGCCTGAACTGCATGGTGAGACCCTGTCTAAAAAAGAATACAAACAAACAAACAAAAAAACCCACCAATGCTGAGCCTGAGGTCATGAAGATTTGTCTTGTTTTTTCTGCTAAGGGTTTAATATTTTAGATCTTATATTTACACTTTTGGTCCATTATAAGTTATTTTTTTCTTCACCACAGGGAATTGAAACCAGGGTCTTTTTTTTAAGAAATAAAAGAAGGAAAGCATATTAACAAACAGACATCAATTTACAAAATAGCATAAGAACAATACAAACAATACAGAGTTACAAACAAAGTGGTAGGAAATTAACAATGCTTGCTATATTACTTATTGATATCTTCAAAGTGGTTTCTCAGGAAAACAAAGACATACAAGACTGATGAAACAAGTAATCATTAACTGTTTCTTTCTGTAGAGTAATAGAAGACAGTAGCACAACTATATGAGCTATCCTGTATATACATACTTACATAATTTCCCCTTCTTTCCCTTTTCTTTTCCCACACCCCAGTTGCCCTTTACTTTGGAGCATTTTCCTTTCATTTCACAATGTCTATCATACCTCCTAGTTTTTATTCACTCTTTCAAGTTCTTACACTACTGAGACAACACTGATTTTACTTCACTTATGAGTATGGTCTCTAGTTGTGACCATTTACCTATAAAAGCTTTGAGTTTATCTTTCTTTATAGCTGAGTAATATTCCATTATATAAAAGTACCACAATTTTTTTATCCAATCCTCAGTGGATGGACATTTGGGTTGCTTCCACAGTTTAGCAAATTGCGCTGCTATGAACGTGGGTGCACATATATCGCTATGATATCATGTTTTCAGATCTTCTGTGAAAATACTCGGAAGGGGAATAGCTGGGTTGAATGGGACCTCTAGACTGAGTTTGCTGAGGAATCTCCAAACTGATTTCCACAGTGGTTTCACCAGTCTGCATTCCCACCAGCAGTGGAGAAGAGTTCCTACTTCTCCACAGCCTTGCCAACATTTGTTATTCGCTGATTTCTTAATGATAGCCATTCTTACTAGGGTAAGATGAAATCTCAGTGTTGTTTTAATTTGCATTTCTCGAATGACTAATGATGCTGAACACTTTCTCATGTATTTATTTGCAGGGCCTTTGTTTTTTAGATTTTTTCTTTTTTCTTTTTTTTGATACTAGGAATTCAACTCAGGATCTTGCACTTGCTAGGCAGGTGCTTTGCCATTGAGCTATATTTCTGGCCCTGGTTTTTGTCCTTTTGAGAGAGGGTCTCAGTGTGCAGTTCAGGCTGGCCTGAGCTCACTTTGTAGCTTAGCCTGGTCTTGAACTCTCAATGAGCCTCCTGAGTGCTGGGATTACAGGCATGTGCCACCACACCCAGCAGCCTAGGACCTTTCTACCAAGCTACATTCCCACCCTTTATTTTGAGACAAGATATCACTTTTTTTTTTTTTTGGTACTGGGAATCGAACTCAGGACCTTGCACTTGCCAGGCAGGCGCTCGTGCCGCTGAGCTATATCCCCGGCCCGACACAGGATATCACTAAACCACTAAGTTTCTTGAGTTGGGCTTGAACTGTGAACCTCCTGATTCAGCCTTCCAAGGTACTGGGATTAAATTAATTTTTGTCCATGGTGTGAGGTAGGGTCCAGCTCCATCCTTCTCTTGTGGACAGCCAGTTGTTCCAGCACCATGTGTTGAAGATGTTCTTCCCCCTACAGGGCCTGGGCACCTGCATTCGTCAGCTTTTCATTGCTGGGAGCAAATGCCTGACTTACCACTTTACAGCAGGAAGGGTTCCCTTTGTAGCTTCATGGCCAGCTAGCACCACTCAGCTAGCAGAGACAGGGCACGTGCCAGAGAGGAAGGGGCCGGGTACCAGACACCGTCCCCAAAGTCACGCCCGAGCAGCCTCCCAGGCTGAGTTTCCTTCCCTTGTGGAAACATCAGCTGAAACGCCCGAGTTTCCTTCCCTTGTGGAAACATCAGCTGCGATTTGTGGGCTACACCTGGACCCTCACCTCTGCTCCACAGAGCTGCCCATGTGAGCCTTACGGAGCTCCACACTCTTGATTCCCAAAGGCTTTTAAAGTGTTACCATTTTGAAATTTTGAAGACTTTTGGGTTTTTTGTTTTTTTGTTTTTCAGAATTCATTTGGTTATTTGAGGTTCCTTATAATTCCACATGAATTCTAGGGTCAGCTTTTCTATTTCTCCTCCCCAGCCCCATCCCAGCCTTTTTGGCTTTTCTTTCTTTCTTTTTTTTTTTTTTTTTGGAATTGAACTCATGACCTTACGCTTGCCAGGTAAGCATTGTGCCGATGAGCTATATCCTCGGCCCCTTTTTGGTTTTCTTCAGACAGTGTTGTGTTATGTAGTTCGAGCTGGCCTCACATTCCCTCTGATCCTCCTGCCTCAACCTCCCCAGTGCTGATTACAGACTGCACCACCACCTCCGGACTCTTGAGTTTGTTTTTTAGTTTCAACAGGGGCTTTCTTTGGATTTTCTACACATAAGATCATGTCATCTGCACAGAAACACAGAACTTTTTCCTCTCCAATATTGAGCGTCTCTTATTTCTTTCCCTTGCCCCATTTCTCTGTTGAGAACTTCCCCAGGACAGAAGCTGTAACTGTGAGCCTTTTTGTCCTTTTCCCAGTCTCCAGGGAGCAGCGCCATCTCTGCGCACGTGGGTGAATGTGGCTGTGATGGGTCACCACAGGCTTTTCTTTTTTTTCTTTTTGTATTTTGAGACAGGGTCTCGCTATGCAGTTCAGGCTGGACTTGAGCTCACTTTGTAGCCCAAGCTGGTTTTGAACTCATAAGGATCCTCCTGCCTCAGCCTCCTAAGTGCTGGGATTACAGGCATGTGCCACCACGCCTGACCCGCCACAGCTTTTCTTCTGGTTCCCAGCTTACTGGATGGTTTGGGTGCTGGAGATGGAGCCCAGGGCCTTTGCTTGGCAGCCAGGAGCTCTGCGGCCCAGCTACCCCTTATCATATGCAGACACTCGAGTTGATCAGATGCTTTTGTTGCATCAGCTGGGATGATCGAGTGGGATTTTCTCCTCATTCCATTAGCATGGGTATCACATCCAGGGATTCCCATCTGGCACCCCGCCCTGGCGCTCCTGGGTCATGCTTTATAATCCTTTCAAACTGCTGCTGGAGTCTATTTGCTCCCATTTCGTTGAGAGACTGCATCTAGAGTCAGAACAGTTATCACTCCGGTGTCCTCCTTCCTGAGGTCATTATTCTCGAGTTTGGAGGTTCTTTATATATTTTATAAAGACCATATACTGCTATCATTATATATGTATGAGATATCTGCTAGTACATGATTTCTTCATGTGTTCTTCCCTTCTGTGGTGGAAGCCGTAATTCTAACTCCAGGTTATCATTTGTGGATCATGCTACCAATGCTGAGTCTAAAATTCTGTCCAATCCCAGGTCACGAGAATTTTCTCTTTTTCTCTATAAATTTTCTTTAGAAGTTTAAATTTTAGATTTAAAATTGATAGCCGGGAGTGGTGGTGCACGCCTGTAATCCCAGCAATCAGGAGGCGGAGGCAGGAGGATCATTTTGAGTTCGAGGCCAGCCTGGGCTACAAAGTGCGCTCAAGGCCAGCCTGAACTGCATAGCTAGACCCTGCCTCAAAAAGGCAAAAATAAATAAATAAAATTGATTCATTTGGCATTGGGTCTCAGCCTTTTGGCTAAGATCAAATGTAAAATTGACTCATTTGGATCTGGTCTCGATGTGTAGAAATCTCACAAATCTCCGAGACACAGGAGGCAAAACCTGGTAGAAACAGGACCCCCACCCTGTGCTAGGCGGCTGGCGGGACTCAGCACAGACAGAGCTGGCGGGGGCGGGCGGAGGCCGGCAGCACCTGCCACCCTCACAGCCTGGGAGACGCTGCCCCGACACATGGGGCGCAGGAAGGAGTCGAAGCAGGTCGGGTTGGAGTCTCTCAGGGCCCCACCCCAGGTCCCAGGGCCACCATGCTGGACTTCAGTCCCGAGGGTGTCCTCTGGCGCTGGTCACTTATGCTAAGGGCTGTCTTGCTCAGGCTCGGCGGGGAGAAGATGCCGCGGGCCCGAGGGTCCGCGCAGGAGGGACGGAGGTCTGGGGTGCGGCCCCGCCCACGCAGGGGGAAGGGCGCGTCCGGATGAAGGTGAAGCTCAGGACCCCAGGTTCTCACCTCTGGGAAGGACCCGCCGTCAGAGTGGGCCTGGGGCTGACGCCGAGCCGGCTCCCGCCGCGGCCCAGGAGGGGCTGAGCGGACCTGCGAGAGCGCAGCGGCGCGCACGGCGAGGCAGGCAGCCGGGAGCCCGGGAGGG